TGCAATTCTGTTTGCGTCCCAATCTCACTAGGTCCGCGTGTCATCCTTTCTCACACGTATCCTCTCAAAAGGACGATACACGCATCTGGTCGACCTGGCCCGGCATTGGCACCATATATGATGTTTTGTTTCACAAGCACCATCTATGCCCTCGCAAAGCCCCATCTTGTCTCGAGGCACCGACGGCCCAGGATACGGATCGGACAATGAGGCTTGATTATGTCGTCTGTTCTGAGAAGGACGGCTCATTCTTTGGCCCATTTCCAACCGTATGTGTACCCCCAGCTTCCATCGTTGGATTCCGCAGGCGTGTTACATGCTGGGAAGAGCCACGGAGACATTCTAGCCTCACTAATCAAGCATGATCAGCATGGGACCTGCTGCTGTGGCTGTCTGACGAGAAACAAACCCCTGCCGCTTATGGCAAAATGGCGGGAAAGTTTTCACTGCCGTTTTGCAACCTCGATCTGCACTACGTAGCCATATGTAATGGTGGGCAGTGGTGGCTTTTTTCCTGGCTCTTGCCATGGGTGCGACGATCCCAGCACCAGCTTTTCACTTCAAGGAGCACGTCCTGTCCTTCTCACGCATACATGACGGCCTGTGAAAAGCCACGATCTTGCCCCCACGTTTCAATCTCCAACGGTGTGCATGGCCAAACACATGCATCCGTGGTCAAACCCATCTTCTCGCAGAATTTCTACCACCATCAACAAAAGGTCCAACTTTAAGTAAAATAAAAAGGGTGTAACGGCGAAGCAGCGCAGCCGTGCCGGGAACTTGACTGACACTACATACGCGTCGTTGTTTGCCCGACGTGAGCCCAAAATGGGTTACACAAGACGTGACGCCAATCCGCAATCGCGGAAAAAGACCTACTCCAGGTAACCAATTTACATGGGTAGGTCAGTCAATTTCGCAAAGCACTAAAATTGGAAACAATATAGACATATCGAGTTCATTATCGGCTGGTGATGCAGTAGCCATACTCTCCAAGCTTGAGAAGCTCGACACCATTCAATCTTGAGGTCATGTCTCCTTTACGCGACCTTAAAGGAGGGTGCCCAGAACACGCTCCCTAATGCTCGTCAAAAATTCCCAGAAGGAGGTAAGCCCATCGTCCAGTTCAGGCTTTAGGACGAGTCCGGACTAGACTATTCTGGCGGTAGTCGGGGAGGGGAGCTGGAACAAACCTGGGGAGACAGGAGTTGAGGGAGGCATGAAGAGGCACGCGGTGTCGGGGCAGCCAAGAGCGGAACGACACCACGCACATGGAACCCCGGCGTCCCTCCCGTCTGGGAGAGGAGTGCGACGTGGGAGTGGGCCCGTGGATGGGTGCATGGGACTCGCACAAGGCACAAGCAGCGCCGGCACAATTTTGATGACAACGACGCGAACCCACTCCGCCGCAAAGCACTTACAACGTCGCTTAGGTCTAATACCGATGGTCGAACAGGCTCATGCAGCATGATGGTACGCAGGAGACATAAAGTGCACAAGGACAAGACCAACTTCAACCGTTGCGGTGAGGGATGGGACAACCAACCCATGTGAGGCACGCTTACGGGTGTTTACAATGTCAAAAGGCCCCTCGTCGACATGAGGAACAGCCCCTGCATGATCAATAGGAAGCTGCAGGCTTATGGTGAGGACATTGCATTTGCTGTCACTTGTCGAGTCACCACAGTTCCCGTCGCAATGTGGACTAGCAATGGGTGCAGGGCCGAGGCATACATCGAGTGCACCGCTTACCCAACTTCTTCCCTTTTTCCTCGCAGGGAAAAAGAAGCCACGTCAAACGTGGTCTTCTGCTGCTCAATGCCGACTTTCTCGCTGGCTCGGAACGGAAGCATCCTTGTGGCGTCCCAGCTCGGTTCGCTCGTGGGAACGGAATCTAGCCATGTCATGATCAACAGAACAAACCCGATCAAACGTGCAGATGGTCTCCCCTCCCCGCCGGCTCCGTGGCACCGTGGCACCTCGACAATGCTAAGCCGTATGCATTCCCACGCAGCTGGACCATGCAGTAGTGGCGCTCTTAGCTGGCGGCTAGCGCATGCACCTGGCGGAATGGCCAGTAGAGCGAGACACGGCTGGGCCAAGTCCAAGGAGAATCCCTGGTCCCAGCGAATGGAGCAAGTCCCTGCCTCGAAATGCTGCAATGAATTGGTTCAGCTGAGGGCGTGGCGGTCTGCAGAGGAATCGGCGGTCACGTTTGGCGTACCTTGGCTCAGGAAACCGATGGCCAGGACTAGACGGAATTGCAGGGAAAAGCAAGAAGACGGCCTGCCGGCCAAGCGACGACACCCACGTTGGACGTTGGGGCGGCATTCTACATGGCCGAGGCAGGCAAGGAGACAACACACACACACACACACACACACTTTGAAAGACCAGTGGACATCGAATGATATCGGGACTAACGCAACTGGAAAAAGAGCAAAGAAAGTAAGCCGGGTCGAAGGCGGCAGTGAACCGACCTCTCTGGGGAGTTCCAGGTGTTGAAGTTGAAAACGGACGTGCTTTGAGGCATCCCAGACTCTGCTTTGCATATGCAATTTCTCTAGTCCGGATGGCAAAGACTTCGTCTGAAGTATTGAAGCAGCCGTCACGTCAAGCTTATGAAGGTATTGGACCGGGCCGCCGCATAGTCGCGCGGCTTGGGCTTGACGATGGGATGGATGCATGACGGAGGGCGTTGTGCAAAAGCTCGAGCAGCCGCAGCGGGCTGCCATGTATGTACATGCGCCTGTGACAGCCTGTCAAGCCAGCCCACGAGCCATCTCATCATTCATCAGATCAGATGGCACTGGGGCGCAAAATTGTCCGAGCTTCAATTGGGGAGCGCGCAACGACGGGTCAACCAAACCAGCAACGATAGCGTTTCTCGCTTTACCTCGTCTGTGAACAAGCTGAACCCTGGCGGGCGTCTTTGGGGTACTTGACACAGAGCCAGGGGCCCGTGGAGACAGCAAAGAGATACCCGGCTCGACCCCTGCGGGCTGAAGCGCGAGCTGAGCGCCGCCGCTGGGGGAGAGAACCAACCCAACCCATATCTCAGATTTCCCGATGCACCCCAACGTCGACAACTGAAGTGTCAGTCCGCTTCTCTCTGCTCGTTCCGCGATGACAGACATTGGCATGACCTGTGCCGACATGGGATCTCGGCCATCGGCCACGGACGCCAAACGGGTGATTAAGATGTGCCGCCGGGTCAAGCGGGACATCATCCAACGGTATCATGTGCCCCGATCTGCCGAGGAAACAAGCATCAATCAATCCTCTCAAGCCAACAAGAAAGGAAGGCCTCGTCTGATAATAAATGGGTACGACACTGCGAAGGGAACCGCTGGCGCGTGCCCGTTCCCATCACTCTCTTTCACCCACGGGCAAACCTACTTGACCGGATTCCGCCCCTGGTATCCGTCACTACCTTCTGCGTGGGACACAAAACAGCCACTGCACTTTGGCGCGCTGAAACTCCAGGAACGCTAGATATGACGAAAATCCAAAAGCGCATCAGGTCTCGCTTCTTGAATGCAACCTCCCAAACGATGATCCTTTTTGGCCCTTGATCGCACGGGCGGTCTTCAGCACTGGTCTTCATACCGCGTCCCAGCGCCGTCATTCCCCGGTATCCGCTCGAGCTCATGGCTATGCACGAGCCCAGGTGTCATCTAAGATGTGGCGAGACGCTCCCATGCCAAGCAGGACCTGGCTTCTGTCAGCTATTGCTTTCCCCATCACGACGAGTGGACGGCCACACGCCGATTTTCGTGCCCAAAAACACCAAGGAGTCTGTGACGGTATCTGCTCTTGGTAGAGCCTCCCCCCGTTGGCCTATCATCTGTACCCAGATGGTTGAGGCAGGCTGCACACTGTACGGCAGCATTAGACACCGCAACCACGTTGGCCATCCAGTTAGCACCCGCCAGCATCACATCGCTTCAGGAGGTGGGATGTGATGAGATGAGATGGGATAACGGGAGAGCAACACCGCAGCAGACCAGACTGCGTGTTGGACCCAGATGGTGACCTCGGGTCTGTGGTAAAGGGTTGAGCAGCTGCAGGGCCTAACCCAGAACATGGAGGCAGCGTCAATGTCGCTTGTCCCGGGGATACCCCCGGGTGCGTGTAGTCGATCCTAGAGACACACACCCAAACCCAACAGAGCCCACCGCCCAGGGCAAGATGATTGACAGTGCCAGTCCAGTCCAGTCCATCACAGCAAAGAGTCCAGCACAGCGAAGCAGAGCAGAGCAGAGCAAAGAACAGGACTGTCAGCACCCTCTGTACCTGACGGTGGGCAACTACCTACGCAAGCAATCACTTCACTGTCTCTGGGATGAGGAGGTCGCGCCCGAGGACAATGGCCTAGGGTGGGCCCAGCAATAATACGGGTCAAAGTGCGAATAAGCTGAGGTTCCGGGACAGGGGTTGTGCTGGCCCTAGCTGATGGGATCCCAGCTCTCCAACCCGAGATGGAGGTACAGGACTCTTTCTCATTGCCTGCCAGCGCTCGTGCTTGCACTCGCGGGCACGGTACCTCGAGCCGGTCTGCTTGGTCACTGCCTTGCCTTACTTACAGGCAGCCGCCCATATGTGCACCCGCAGGATAGCCGTCCCTCTTCGTCTCCCGGTATATTACCCACACGGTCATTTTCCCTCCCGATCATCAGGCTGGCGGCGTTGTTACATTGGCTCATTCGTTCCGAAAAGCCAATTCCAATCTCGTACTCGACGTCGTCCAAAGTCTGCCAGTTCGGGGAAAAGAAAAAGAAGGTTGAATGGAGCACCACAACAAACACGCTTCGAGCATGATACCATGTAGCTTATTACGTCGCTCCGCCGCAAAAAGCTACCTCGCTATTCTTCTTCTGGCCCGCTACGAGTGGGCAAAGACCTGACCCAGACCCCAAACCAGATGCCAGCGGGCGAGCAGCCAAGCACATGCGTCCTGCTGCTCGACTGGGAAAGGTCAAACTCAGGGGATAAGGGAGATGGGAATCCGGCGGCCTGGTGCTGGCGTTGGTGCATGGAGGGGGATTTGGGGAGTCTCGCCTGAACAAGAAAGCAAAGCCAGGTATCCGTCCTCTGTACAGAGTACCTCTGCCTTGCAGCCAGTCTCGAGGTCAGGGTTTTGGCCTCGACATTTTGGACTGTCCGTTTTTCTGTCCGTTTTTCTTTCTTTCCAGCATGTTACTACTGCCTGTCTCTCTATTTCCCGTCTAAGACTCCAAGTAGGGCCCGTCGTCGACTACCTACCCATCTTCCTTACCGTGTCTACCATTCAGACGACACCCCATCCTTCTCTCTTTCACTCGCACACGCCGCCTATTGCTTCTTTCATCGTTTCTTTTCCGGCTGGCAGGTTGGCCCCTCCCCCCTACTTTTCTTCCTCAGCAATGGCTACTGACTGATGACAGACCTGGCAGGAACACGGCCTTTGCTCTCTGCAGAAACGACACTTGCCTCACTCCCATCCACTCTCGCACTCCCTCTTCCACTTCCATTTCCAACCCAATCACTGAAGCCAATCCACAGATACATGCGTCTTCTTACTGTGCATCCACACCCTTGAGCCCCCCTTGCCCAGGTCACTTTGGCTGCCAATCGCTCCTCACCCCCTCCCCTCCCTCCTTGTACTCACCCTCCTCGTCCGTGTGTTTCCCCAAGGCAAGGAGCCTCGCGCACTCCTGATGCCTACCTTTGGTTGTGTACTTAGCACACACCAGACAGAGGCTGACTACCTCGTCCGTCAATGAAATACTAACCTTTAATCTCCAGAGACTGGCGCCTACTTTTTGAGAAGCCCACCCCCTTCTTCAAACCCACCGTCCCGGCAGCCTGCTTGTATTCCGTCTTCGACCTGTAACGCCCAGACTCTGCTGCCCCAAGCTAAGGGACATTCAATACGCCACTGTCGCCCGTCTTCCAGGTAAGGTACCAGCAGTGCGGAGGTCAGTAGGTGTCTCGAGTGTCGAGAGCTACCTGAACTTGATTTACTCTCACCCACTGAGCTGCGTGGTGCTAGGCCTCGGTACCTCTTCCCGCTGGACCTCGATGAATGATAAGCCCGGACGACACATAGCAGAGAAGAGAGAGAGGGAAAGTCAGAGACAGAATTGCTGGAGAGACACTGAACGAGAGAGAAAAGCATACTTTTGATCACATCTCTCTTCCATCCTCTCCCCGCTTCACCTACCTCAGACATTCCAACAACTCCCGCTGTCGCCTCCGCCAGCGGAGCAAAGAATCCAATCGCGAGGTTCTATACTACTCTTTTCGTTCCGTAGGGCAGAAGCTACCCTCCTCATTATTCCATCCAGTGTCAGACAGTACACCCCCGGTACTTGGAGCTGAGGCGCCAGGGTCTTCTCAGTTTTTGGTGTCCGACTACCCATTCTCAAGCCCCCCTTCAGCCCTCCCGGACTAAAGCCTGGCTGGCTTTTGGCCTAACAAATCCTGGGTTAGCCCCCAAGACGAAGTCCCGCACCATTGCGAAGCTACATATATTCGACAGCCGCCTCCACAGTGGATGGAGGGACGGACTGGACTGGCGCCCTAAGGTGATCGACGCACGATAACTCCTTTCGACATCCCAACCAGGATAGCTTTTAAAACCTGCACAAAGCCTCCTTCGATCTTTCCATTGGCAGACATACTTTACCCCGAGGGACATCTTCTCTTTCTCATCATCATCTCCTGCATACCATCGATCTAGTTTCCTCCACTCCGCCAAGTACTTCTGAACTTTGTTTTGGACACCCTTAAACTCAGTCGTCTTTGGACATACATCTACCTGCAATAATCCCTGGTCTTTCTCTGGACACGTCGGCAGCAGCAGACTCACGATCGTGTTTGGCACGGGGTAACTGAAGTCAATCGACACCGACAGATCAGCAGCCAGGAGCGAGAAGAAGCATAAGAGTTACCGCTCCCGCTCCTTCATTCCTCAGTGCCTGCGCCTGAGTGCCAACTCTTTTCAGCCGTCGGCCCCATTTTTTCGACCATCAGCATTTTCCGGGAGGATCAACCCTTTCGACGAAGCTACACCATCAGGCAACGCCCAGCTCAAGGTAGCGGGTCACACGGAGACTACAAACCTTCTCCGTAGAGGTTGACAATCGACCTTCCCGGTTTTTTTTTTCAAAGAAAGGAGAATATTCTTTACAAAATGGCAATGGAAACCTCCCAGAGCTTTACGGCTCGCCGACAGGCGACCCAAGCCTTGCCTCCTTTCCAGCTACCATCGACAAACCAAGATATCCCTAGTATGAGGAACTATTTCAATTACTCAAATCAGATTACACACACTCCTTCACCATGGCCGGCGACGTGCACGAATCCGTCGTCGGCTCCTCCCTCCTCCTCCTCCGCAGCCTCCAACGCGCACCACTCTCCAAATACCGCCAGCTCAGGTCTAACATCGCCTTCAGGAGTGACGGGCGAAGGGCTCAGCCCCCTCTCCTCTGGTGTCAACACCACCAGCTCCCAAAGCTCACACTACTATTCGCAGCACGGAGCATGGCCAACCCCTCAGAGCTCTTCCTACGCGCTTAGCTCTGGGACACCGCAAGCCATCCAGCAATCGCCGTACGGTTCCTCACGAGCGAGCACTTACGAACAGCAATCCCCCTTGCCATACTCCCGCACTTCTCAGTCTCCAGCAACCGGCGGAGAGGGTCTCCCGGGCCCCTCCTACGGCCAGGGTCACCAGTTTTCCCAAGCGGCTTATTCCCAAGCAGGATCTACTCCAGTTAGTTTGCCTTCCCAGGCCTCTCAAACTGCGCAAACAGCCATTCTCGGTTCTCAGACTCCAGTTTCGACGCAGCCTCCCACGCCTGGTGCTCTATCTTCGAATGTTGACTCATATGCGCAGTCCCGACCATCCATTGCACCATCCTACTACGCATCCTCAGCTCCTCAGCAGTCTGGATTCCCCGGCTTCCAATCGCACACATCCCCGACCGCGCCGTCTCCCACGACTTCTGCCGGACCGGGAAGGGGGTTGGCCTCTATGCCCCACCCTTCCGGAATGGCACCTCCTCAGCCATATGGTCGATACGCTTATGGCGTTCCTCCAATGGGAGGGCCTATCATGTCGAACCTCAACACCCCAGGGCATCAAATGTCTCTCGTGTCTGGTATGGGCGTTGGTTACCCGCACCACATGGGTCCCTCGATGTATGGTCACGGCCACGGCAGCCAAGCAAACGCCCAAACGGAGCGCCCTTTCAAGTGCGACCAGTGCCCACAATCATTCAACAGGAACCACGATCTGAAGAGACACAAGCGAATCCATCTGGCCGTCAAGCCCTTCCCCTGCAACTTTTGCGATAAGAGCTTTTCGAGGAAGGATGCCTTGAAGGTATGGCTCCCCATTCTCATATTTCAATCTTTGACACTGAGAAACATCGCTAACGAACATTGTAGAGACACCGCCTCGTCAAGGGCTGCGGAAACAAGGATGGCGAGAATGCTTCAACCGACAACAACCGACGTTCGCCGGGAGATCACTCCGATGACGGGACACCCACCTCGGTCAAGCGTGAGGCATGAACTGATGCCTATCCCGGTGGCGCACGAGGGACGTAGCTGTCAAGGTTGTGCCTCTCAAGCAAGCCACCTTCAACGTTCATCCACCTCCAAGGTGGAATGGCTGCCTTGGTTACGAAACTGAATCACGTTGGCGTCAATGGCGTTCGGAAAATGGGTCGACAAATGCTACATGCAAGATCACGATTCCATCAAATCGAGTTGGTCTTTTTCTATACGACACTTTGCTATTTCTCGGGTTTAATAATACGGGGTGAGGCTATAAGGGTCGTTTCACCGGTGATACCAAAACCTTATTATAAGGCTTCACTTTCTGGGTCAGAAATCACGACAATGGGCAACGGAACCGGTGGCGAAGGAACGGATTGCGACATCTACTTTGGGTGCTCAGGAAGGGCGACACACGCAACATACCATCATAAACGGGAATAATGGGATCGGACACGGAACTCGGCGCAAGGGGTAGGGTCTTGGAGATTGCAGCGGGCGGAAATGCTATGTGGTGTTTGGAAATCACAGCTTGTTGTTATTTTGGATTCAAAGATACCAGTACAATGTACCATACGGGGTGGGGAAGGCTGTCTGGGACATCTAGTGCTATGGGGATCTATTCAGAAAATTGGACAGGTGAATAAGAAGTCATTTGTGTACAAAAGAAACTTTGAAAACCGGGGTTGTTTACCTTGATCGATTAAACTTCAGGAACATATCTCAGACCCATCTTTCGCAAGCTCTGTAGGCCAGTGACCGCGCGTCGTGGATAGTCATGATCGATGATGTCAAAACATGCGGTTCGTGACCAACCTCTTCCATCAGCTGGCCCGAGACAACCCTTCTGCCCTAGAAATCATGACCGACATGCTGCCGGACGTGAAAGTCAATCACGCAAGGGCAGCATCCGTATGACTGGTACGAGCTGCGCGTCATGGGTGAACAAGGTCGTGGGAGAATCCAGCAACCCAGGTTCGCAGACACGGTCGTCACGATGGCCTGTGGTCCGCGGTCGAGATAGCCTCGTCGTATCAGGCAGAGACAAGAAACCATAGACGTGGGAAGGAGGACACTCGGGTCTCCTTGCTGACGTGCCCGAAAATCTCCTAGACCACTGCTCCACTTGGGGCGACTTAAACCATGGAGCTATATCGTGACGCGCAGTAGCAGCAGAGCGGAAGCAAGCAAGCAAACGGGCAAGGTGAGGTTGAGGAAGGTTTGCGGGTAACGTGAAGCCTCACGCCCCACCCCCTTCCCCCCCGCGCCCGGGCCCCCCCTTTCATCTGATCTAGCTTCGCAGACTAAAAAAGAACGACATTTTTAGCTTCCCAAGTCAGGACGGCGCGGGCGTGCTGACAGGACCGGAGGCATAGGGAGAGAAACAAAAGAGGCGTATAGACGAGATGAGATGAGATTTGGGGGGCGCGGCGACAAGCACGGTTGCATGGGCAGCAATTGGAGAACTGTATCTCTAGTCCAGCCATGGTTTCGCCTCTCCGTTTTCTGCCATTCAACCACCAACGGGTAAAGGGGCGGGCCAGAGAGCGAGTGGGAGGCAGAGAGCGAACCGGAGATACAAGGCCAGAGAGGGCCGGGACCATGCAGACGCAGAGCCTAGATTCTGAGTGCTTGTCGGAAGATCGGATGATGGGACGCGGAAAGCACAAGTCTACCGACAAAGCGCGCAGTAGATCAGCTTCTTCTCCCCCGCGCATGTCCCTTGCCATAACCGATAATAAAACCCATATTTTTACTCGTTCTGTGATACTCGATAGATTAGTACGCGCGGCGGTCGTGGAGCTTCGCCCATTCCGGTCGGGAGAGATTGTTTCTTTCTGCAGCTCAGGAGCAGCAAGTCCAGCAAGTCCAGATGAACTGGAGAATCTGGAAGTTTATCGACCAATATTGGTACTCCATACATCAAGCTTTATGAGGCGTCGAGGCGTCGAGGCGTCGAAGGTTTGAAAAGAACTGCAGCTCACCTGGTGCCTCCTCCCCGCGTTGAGAAAAACGCCCATCACAGCCAGCCGCTAAGGTGTGGTGTTGGTGATGGTGGCAGCAGAAGCATGTGGTTGGTGAGTCGCCTTTGGTGCAGGCTGCAGTTAACTTTCCTCATACTGTTACGACAGGTGATGCAGTGTTAGTGAACCCCTTGCGTCGTCGTAGATGCGGCAGCGAGTCATCATTGACAGGTGACTTTGCGGTTTGTTTTTTCCCGTTCCAATGCTAAAATCCCTCACCAAGTGTTGATCCAAAAGGGTTATCGCATCGGAGCTGGACGCGTTCAATTCTGGAGGAGATGGCCCGAGTATCGCGGTGAACAAAGCCAGTCCCAAATGCCTTTCGTAGGGCAGGAAGGGGTGAAGGGGCGTGGCTGAAGAGGCGAGACGGCTGGCTGGAAGCTGAACCAAACCTGAGGTGAGCTGAGACATGCTCACGCGGAGGAATAGAAGAATAGCGGCGCTTTAGGGGATCAGTCCAAGAACAACCATCCTACTCTCTCTCGCCTCCCACTCAGCGCTCTCTGGCGGAAAGACGCCTCCTACCCGGGAGGACGAGGGGGCTTCTAACCTTCCCCTCCTCCGCTCTCCTGTCCCCCTTTACCTGGGTTTCGGTGGCATGCTGGTGGCATCGCTAGTTGACGAGCTAGAAGGAGCCACGCCATTTTTGCACGAGGGGGCTCTCAGTGTTTGTCTCCATGATTGCATCCGAACGAATTGGCATTATAGCCCTTGGTGTCCAACGGGTCCCTCACATCCCATGTTGGTGTGGTGCTACTTCGTACTCTGAAGGTGCGAGTGGGGGACCACTTGACGACCATGGGCCAACCGCGTCGACTCCTGATCGTCCTTTGTACTACCCAGAGCACATCGTAGGGTGGGTAGACACGGCAGGCAGAAGGACCTTGCTTCCTCTCCCCCCAAGCGGCCGGTCGACTTTGCGATGTCGCATATGCGCGTATCCTTGGCGAGCAGGACGCATGCCTTTCCCTATCCCAGTCGCAATAAGCATTGCCATCGGAGGCGGTGGCCACTTCCTTCACTCCTCCGTTTTGGAGAGGCATGCCACGCCGTCCTTCAGCGCCGTGGCTGCCGGTTTTGGCGGATGTTCCTGGTGTTCTTTCGCATTGCCTCTTCTCTTTCTTCGAGTCGGCGTGGTATGGCACAAGCCCTGCTCGCCACGTCGTTCCTGAGAGACGCCGTTTTGAAGGGATGTCCACGATGCCGTACGCCCCAAAGGCGGTTCCCGAAGCCGGGTGAACGCTGTGTCCACGAGGAGGAATGAAGGGGTGGAGGACCGCCGGCTGTCGGCAGGGGCATTGCCAAATGTGCCGCCGCTGACAAGGCGGAGCACACTCTGGCAAGGTATCTCGTACAGATCAGCACACTCGGAGGGAAGATAAGTCGTCATGCTGCTCGATATTCCACTTTAAGGCTAGTGGCTACCTTCCGGCGGCAGCGGCTGAACGTCCGGATGCGGGATTGGGGAATTCCATCGATATCCTGCGCTACAGCTCCGCCGCATTCCTTCCCACCAATCTCACCTCTGCGTCCGAACCAAACGAACACGGTGAATTTTGGTCCAGCGGAGGTGGGTTTCTTGGAGATTTGACTGGCTGAACCTTGAGCATCTGGGCGCCTCGGACGACACACGCGTCGCTCCGGCAATTCGTCGGCGAGATCCCGCAAAACGAGGGCGCAAACGGGAGCGGAAGAAGCATTTTGCGGCTCTATATCTTGTCTTCAAACAGTATTCGAATCCAGACAGCCACAGTAATGGCCATCGCATCGTTCGAGGTCATGGTACTCAATTGCCTGCAGTAAGCTGACGGTGACTTTATCGACCCCGGCCGTATGTCCTCTTTGCGATCAAGTTCTTTCAATGACGAAAAGCACAAGCTCAATTCAAGAGCGACGTCTTCTTGATTATTCTTTGGTCAGATGAACGGCGTGGTGTTTGTTTCAGTAACACCGCTGATGCTGTACGGCTTCCTGCTTCAATTGGGACGACCCATCTTCGTTCAAACAGAGGACAGTATTTGATACCCGAGTAGAATTCAAACCCTAGTTGATTGGAACGGGAATGATTCGTGGAAGAGATGGCGTCCGCGTCAATTTTGCCGCTCGTGTTATCTGTAAGCCAGTCATTTCCTCCCACCCATCATCGGCCTCACCTCTTCGGTAGAACGTTTTAGCACAGAGTACAGCATTTAATGTCAATGAGTGGTGGGCGCAGTTGCGTACGTTGGCTTGTCGTTCGGTTTGACAACGACTGACTTGAAATAGTGCGCAGGCTCGCGCAATTGTAAGAGCCTGTTCTAAGCAGCAAAGTCTCGCACATGCAGCCGAGGACAACGGTCACCAGGCCAGGCATGTGCCCAATGTCATCGTCGCGGACAGCTCCTCACATTCGGATATTTCCTTCCTTGTCTAAGGAAAACGGCATCGCACTTGTCGATCACTTCAAGGATGGTGACTGACAGTTGCTTGAGGTCGACCGAATCCATCCGTCGATACTGAAGAGCGACACCTTGAGTCTTTTAGATGAAGACTTCATCCTGGTCGAGAGTGTAAGAAAATTATTGGGTAGAACGGAACGCCGTTCGCCGTGATTCGGGCTGATCCCACCAAATGGGCATTCATCGGGAAAGAAGCCAGGGCATCCGTTGCAAGTCGTCGAAATAGACTCGGCAACCTGCTTCACCCGCCCCTTGATCCCGGCTCCGCGGTTTGGGTTGGATGCAGATGGGAATGTGATAGCCTGTGTTCCCCGCCTGTGACCAACCATGGCTCCAACCCACCCAATTTCTGTGGACGCTTGGTGCAGATCATTCCCCATGTCTGACGGAGACAGGTCATCAAGAGTACCAAACAAAGGAATTCAACGGCCGGAGCGGGAAAACCACTTACTTGACGTCGCCGAACTTTATTGCAGGCTGCGCCGGCGTCAGAAGCGGGTGAGTTCTGGATGGCCGGGTTGACGGGAAGCTGCATGGGGCTTTGGGATTACAATAATCCTTTTCGGCAGCAGTCATAACGAATGAGATGTTGACTGCACATGCGCTATCCAGGTGGTCAATACGACCTTGGTGTTCGAGTCGATTCACTACCCCATGGCACCATTGGTCAGGTGTTCCAACACCATTGACGGTTCCATGTCCCATCCTAGCCAGCAAGCCAAGGATGCGTTCAATCAGCAGTGTAGCGGCTCGGGCATCGGACAATTCATCTTCAAGCATTCCCGAAGCACTGTTAATCGTTGCTAGGATAGGTTGTTTTCCGGCATGGCTCATCCGGAGAGTTCGTCGATCGCAACCCACAGGAAACCCGGTGGCCGGCTCAGGGGCGGGACAAGCACGAATAGCACAGTCCATTTGCCGGCGTGATTCAAGTACCGCCGTATTCGAGCGGTTCAGAAGTGGAAATTCACTCGACAGGGAAAAGCTTCCCTGCGTTGATGGAAAGATTTGAAGGAAGATACCGCTTATCGTCATCGGAGTCGGCAGGCTGCGAAATGCCAAACTGCCATGGAATCGATCGAGTATTGCATACCCTCAACAAACTGGCTCTTCGTTGCCGTGGAAATGTTGGGAGCAATTGTTACTATAGCCGCTGATGACGAACAGGGGGTACACGGCTCTTTTTCCATGTCTGAGTTTGATGGTCTTTTGTTTGGCAGGTTTTGTCTGGATTGAGCAAACCAAACGTCTTGATTCGTCAGGACAAGCATACGCCCGCAATTGAACTCAACTAGAAGCAGCTCCAATAGAGAGTTTGGATGAGGCTGGTGGTTTGAGATGGGAGCTGATGATTCCGACTTTAGCTGAGACTCGTGCCGCCTCAAGCCACATTAGTCCTTGTGAATGCCATACTGCTTGCATCAGCTCCAAGCTGGCAACAAAGGCGCAGAGGCAAGATTGTGGATTCGTTTCTTGCTGCGCCGAGGAGCCGCTGCTGACGACAACTTCAAAAGCCGCTGGTGGGTCAGACACGGGTAGGTGTTTTCTAGGACGTTTCCGAGAACTGAAAACGGGTCACCGTTGTTTGACCATCTGAAAACACATGGACTACTCGTGGTTGAATATTTTCATCATCTGTCCGTCTTGTGGTCCTTCGATACGGCCGTTCATCGTGAAACTGTAGCTGATTGCTGTTTTGGGTAGATGAAGTGAAGTTCTTGATTCGGCCGAAGAAGTGTCAACCCGAACTTCGCGCCATCGCCACGTTCAATAGGAACAGAATCATGGTAACACGCGAGAAGTGGGGCGGTATCAAACTATCGGGGCAGATGCGCAGGCAGATCGCCAATCACGTCTCTCGGACGAAGAACTGAACGGCAATCCCAGCAAAGACCGAGTTCCAACGGATGCGATTGGCGGGTTTGGATCAGACTGCCAGGATGAGTATTGTTTTCCAAAGGGGAGACCGGCCGAGAATAGGTTGGGTTTTGTCTTGATTTTGGACGAATGCTCAGATTGGCCTGAACATCATGCTTTGGTGACGACACATGAGACAGTCTAGCTGCATCTCTGAGCCCCATGGTAGCAGCCGCAAGTGCACCCTGAGCTTGTGTCGAATAAGCGTGATATTGACTCAAACGAGGGCCCCTTGATATTGCCAAGCTCCCTGACCAGACCGCCGGCGGGCACATTCCACCTCGCACGCAATCTCAAGTTCGAGGGTGCGTATTTGAGTTCTGTCACGCCTGGGCTTGGCTGGACTGATCTGCTTCGGCGGCCCATGTTCGTGTCTCCAAATGGTTCAGAAATCCGGGGGAGTGTTCTATTCTGGGAATTCAGAGGCGTTCGAGTCATCCACGGTGTCTTCCGCCGGAGGATAAGGCATACCACGGCGCATATAATGGGGTCTGTTGATCGTGTTTTTGGGTAGTCGGGCAGCTAAGTGCAGTGTATCGTGATTAGCTGCAGCTCTGCATCTTTTCGTCTCGTCATTCGTTCGAAGTCTGTGTGGATAGCGAGAGACTACGGCGTAAGGCAAAGTAGAGAAAAGGCTGATGTCGGCATCCCAGATGAGCAGGTTGTTTGAGCGCAGAGTGGATGGACGTTAGAGTTCGCGTGTCACTCGTGGTAAAAATTGTTAGCAGGGCCAGGTAGCAGTACTTTCTTCTGCCCCGGGCGGGGCGAGCACTAAACCGAGATCGGCCAATCAGAAAGAGCTTCTCGGGGGCCTCCGCTTATTATCCGTCCTTGGCGCTGTCGCAAACTCCACATCTGCGCAAGTTTGGCAGGGGGTCGTCCCACGAGGCCAGTAACTTCCTTCACGGGACTCCTTATCTGCATCTCGGCATCACTGCTACGGCGAGCTGCTAACGGCATCTTAGGACCATCTGCGTCCAGCCGTCCGTCTCACCTAGGACCATCCAAGCTCCATGGCCGGTCGGCAGGAACGACAAAAAGTCACGTCTGCCCATCTCCAACATCTTGGCACGAGCCAAGTCACCTCGCGTTAATGCACAACATGCTCTTGTTTCGCCGTCGCCTTGCGAGTCACCATTCGTAACGCCCTCCCTGCTTGAAGCGTCTGAAGATCCCTCGCAAACCTTCTCGCCGCCAATCTATATCACCGTCTTCGCCGCCTGACCCTTCTCCTCCACGCTCCGTCCGAAGAAGATCACGTCGCTCTCTTTCACATACGTCGCTTCGAGATCTAATATCTAAATACACGGCCGGGACTGGAGCCTGGTTGGAATTTCTATCCCTCGTCACTCTCTAATATCAAGCGCTTTGTTTCTTTCACGACAGCGTCGACCGCTTCGCACGTTCGAACCGCCACCATGGACGCTCTTATGGCAAGGCATGGGGGAGATGAGCATACGACGACGGGAACGGCCACCGCCTCCGATGCCATGCCCGGCATGGATATGGGATCCGGATCGATGAACATGAACGGCTCGACCAGCAGCGGCTCAAGCATGAGCATGATGATGATGACCATCTTCCAAACCAACCTCCGGACCCCACTCTACACTGAGACCTGGACTCCGAACAGTGTTGGAACCTACGCCGCCACCTGTATCTTCCTGATTTTCCTCGCTTTCGCCATGCGCAGTATGGTTGCCCTCAAGTCCATTCAAGAGAAGCGGTGGTTGGACAAGGATTTCAAACGCCGATACGTCAGTGTGAACGGCAGACTGGGAATGGCCGACAAGATGTCATCCGACAGCATGGCTCAGAAAATGGTCCTCTCCGAGAATGGCGTCGAAGAAAATGTCACCGTCGTTCAGAAGCAGCACGGTATTTGGCGACCATGGAGATTTTCGGTTGATCCCGTCCGGGCACTGATTGACACGGCCATCGCTGGTGTTGGATACCTGCTGTGAGCAATCATCACCCGCATTCGATTTCAAACGTGGTACTAATGGGCATATAGTATGCTGGCTGTCATGACAATGAATGTCGGCTACCTTCTCTCGGTTCTCGGCGGTGTCTTCATGGGCAGTCTCGCTGTAGGCCGGTTTGCCACCATGGGCGAGCACTAGGCTATCCCAATTTGCGACGACTTTGCGGCGGACATGACCGGCTGCAGTCTGGTTGACAGGCTGACGAGGTCTTCTTCCGCGGTAATCGACCAGCGGTCGTGGACGCTGAAAAGATGGAAACGAGTTATGCGACCACGAGTACGGACAGTTACCAACCAGCTTAACCTTCAACAACAAACCTTCAGACTTTTGGGATTTTTTTTTCTTTTGGGTCCCTGTCAAGGGAGCCTCCAGGCATCCAGTGGCTAGTATATGACACTCGTTCAGAGGTGCTGTAAATAGCACGATTACATACTGCTGTGACGGTGATACTGCCAACCTGGCAGCTATGACAAGAAGCCGTCGCGAGTTTTGGTCCCCAAATGCCTGGCGTGGTGTTCCTGCCCTCCTGCAAGTGATAGTGACGAATGTAGAAAGTACAAATCCGCTGGGGCTAGCAACTGGTCCGTGCAGAAACCTTCTCAAACCCCCTCAGCCCTTTCCCAATTGCGCTTCCTCACTAACCGAGACACTATCATGGACCCTACCAGTGCCATCTCGCCAGGCCATCCATTCTTCATGTGATACATTTCCACTGTGGCCGAACCGGACAATAAGTGAGCCGCTCGCTCAACGGGATAGACATGTAAACACCACCAGTGCTGGCAAACAAACACGGATTATTAGGTAAGCTGTCGATTGCATCAGCCAGGACCCTGCCCAGCGCCCACTCACTGCTGCAGGTTGCACAGACGACGACCAGAAGCTAGTGCTCTTGGGGAAATCTGCCCATCGTCCACGATAAGATCCACGCTAGGCATTTGGATAAACACTTGCTCTGCTCCTGGATCACGTTACTCGGGCGCCCTGGGTACGATATTTCGATATCGTCGATTCTTTCACATGTTCACATCCTCACGAGTACGGATACGTTGTGATTGTCGACAAGCAAGCATCCTCCCTCCACAACTTCCGAACCTCCGAGTCGTGGGGCCTGAGGGCAACGTCACCCGGACCAGGCGCAACCCCCGATCACTCCGTGGGAGGTCTTGATTGCCGCACTTTCAGAGGGCCCGTCTGTCCAGAGAGCTTGTTTCTGCCCGTTTCATCTGAACCACTTGTGCGAATAGCACTTCGAAGTTTCACTGCCCCGACGCTGGCTGCCACTCAAACCACGCGGTTGGCCAATCCACGAACGAGGTCGGAAAGTTCCACGTGGCGTACAGCAAGCATGCGAATGATGCTGTCCCAAGATCCCCTCTCCATGCTAGAGCTATGAATGGCTGAGCTACGAGAGTGTACCGCAGGAGACGTCGTCGCCGCCTGTGTCGGTGTCAGAAAAACCGAAAGGCAACTCATGAGAATATTGTTGGCGCAGTTCTGAAGAAGCTTCTCAGCCAGCTTCGCTGCTATTTGCGGTGTAATTTGGGTCTGACTGGTGACTTGGAGGTTGGCTGAACCTTGCCTGTTCAGAATCATCCGCGTTGCCGCTCGTCGACTAGCTTCACGGGTCTTGGGATAGAACACCGGACGATGGAAATGTCGACGTCGACTAGACCTTAATGTTTCTGACGGCTGTATGACAGGTCCCCAAACCCGACGGATTTGTCCATGTCAAAAAAACACAAAAGCGAGGGGATGACACGGCAACTCCGAGCACTGTGTGGTACATATCTCCCATCAACGGACCTCGGGCGAATGTGGGCCTCCACGATGCTGTCCGACTCCAGCGGCTGTCGTTGGGATGATGCAGAGTTCGTGGTTGTCCGGAAAGGACAAGGACCCAGGCGTGAGGCTGAATTGCCAGACAAACGTCGGTGGAGAATGCAGCCCAACCATCCGGAGGGCAGCGCGCGGACGCCGTTATTTCAAACGTCGGAAGGGCGGCGCATGATACGCAGAGTCCGACGGGCTCCGGGGAGCGTTAAAGCGACTTCCGTTGTTCGTTCCTACTGGCTCATGATCGCAGTATGACAGGTGAACTGAGCATGGGAAGTGTTTGGAGTTGTCAACAGTCAAAACAGAGAACGAACCATCCATTGTTAGTCTTGATTACTTACTGAAGGCCACTCAGTGAGGGCGATACGACGACCCCGGGAGCAGTATCCGATCAAGGAGATATGTCCTTGGAACTCGGCAAGATAGCCTTTGCGTAGGCCCGAAAAGTCGCAAAAACCGCAACTCAAAACCAACCTCGCTCTTGGTCATCCTTGCTCACGGGGACTGTCTGCTGGCCGGTGCTTCCTCCTGAGCGGTGCTGCTGCCAATGGCATCTCCCATAACCACAGCTGTAGCCTCGTCGAAAGACATCACGACATACAACCTGCGCTACAGATTTTGCGCAAAGGTCAGCCAGGCAAGACGCAAAAAGAATATGACTGCTGCGTCTTTTTAAATACACCAACCAAATTATGCTCAAGGCTGCCGTCACAAGCGGCTGCGAATGTTATCAAGCCCACCAGGCCCAAAAAGGCAACGAGCTGTCCCTGCATCCTGTCCCAATCCAGGCAGGACCTTCCCCACCATCGACAGCTTCACCGAAATGGAAACGCGTTTTCTACCCCGCTAAAGAGACGCGACGAGCAAGGGAAAAAAAAAATGAAAGCGCAAAATGAAGCTTCGGATAAAACACATGTGATTTTTCTTGACACGATCCACGCCAAGTCATCGTCGCAGCCGCAGTCGATTTAGCAGCCGTATCCATACACACAAAAAGACGATTGATCACCACCACCTCAGCTGAAAGACAGTCAGCCCGCCAAAAGGCACCTGGAAGCATGCGTACCCAGGCGCTACCAGTTACCCCGCTGCCCGCCGTGCGGACACTCATTGCAGACACTGGCGGCAGCACCAGCAAGCACCACGGGCAGCAGTGCGCCCCGGATAGTAGCCGCTGATATTAGGCCCCCCCCAGGGTTGTCGGGTCCACAGCCAAACCGCTGAGTCTAACCTTTCCTACCACTGACAGCGGTCGCAGCGCAAGGCCGGCGCGGCGGGCGGGACTCCCAGCCGCCGAATCACAATCCGCCAGACAGCCAAAAGCAGCATTCGACTTTCTCAGCTGTAGCTGCCCTTGCATTCGACCCGATCAGCCCAAGCCCGAGCGAGGATCACTTCTTTTTAATACTTGGGCGCGAAAGACGTCGCCTTGCCTGCTGAGGAAATCCCGGTGGCTTGCAATGTTGTTTATTTCCTTCCCAATCCGACGACCTCAGCCCGTCCGCCCGCCCGCTGGCTGCGATTGTTCAAATACCGACCGTACTCGCTCAGAGCGGGTTCGCATGTGGATGCTGCGTTCTCTCCGTGAGGTAAGTCCGGCCCAACCCCCGATGTTTGGATAAATACGGTATTTCCAGGGAGAGAAAAAAAACAACATACAATGACAAAGGGACATCGACGCAACATGGATTTTGAGTAGATACGTCCACACTACACAAAGAATCATCCCAAGAAAAAAAAATCTTAATTGCAGCGAACCCGCCCTTGAGGAAGCTCACAGTGTCTCGCATCACTCCGTTAGAGTTCAGTCACTTGTCATGTCACCATGACGGCCACCACCACCACCAGCGCTCGCCACACCTACCTGCCTACCTCCCCTTCCGCAAACGGCAAGGTTCCTAAGACGACGAATGATTGGCGGTGCTGATTTGTAAGGATACCGCCGACTTGTTTCACGGGCCGTTTCCTCGTTTACTCGCAAACTGGGGGGTTAAACACTGTGGACAAAATGCTTGGTAGACGGTAGAGAGAGAGAAAGAGGGGAAATAGGCAACATCGTGAAGACGTGAAAGTGATTAGCAGTTTTGTCAGGTTAGGCCCTGACTTTCTAGTAATAGAAAAACAGCCGCGCAAAAGGTCAAGGAAGTACAGTGCTATCATACAATTCAACTGATTCCACCCCCTCTCCCGTGGCCCGGTCCTCCCCTCCCTCTTGTCCGCATAGTGATTCGTTTTCCATTTTCCGAAGCAGCTCGTCTCTCTCGTCTTGTTCCCCTGGGCATATCTCATCTGACTCCAAAAGCAATTCGGGCGCGGAAGGACGATAGAGGCAAGGTCTTTTCTCTCAAGACAGAGAGCAATAATACAGACAAAGTGTGTGTATGTGAATGTATAGTTGTTTTGTTGATTTGCCCAGGGCCGGGGTATCGAAGCCGAGTCCTACGAAAATCCTCAGGGGAGGTTTTGTGGAAGAATAACAAGAAAATAAAAAGAGGAGGTCGCGCGCGTCTTGGCTCATGATCCACGACAGAAATCATCAGAGTCCCATTCCAGGAAAACGTGCCTGCCCCAGCCGTGAGATATCATGCTCTCATGCTGAAAAAACCTAATCCACCCGCGCCGGAATCTCCTTCCATTCCCCTTCTCAAGGGCAGACCACGCGAACATCCTCCCCCGCATAAACGAAAGAGAGAAAAACTTGGCTAGCACCGCCATACAAACTAACGCGCCACGCTTCCAACCTCCCGTCTGGAGCCAGCATCAGAAAGAAAAGGCCCGCGGCACAAAATGTTGTGTTCAACGAGACCGCCTGCGCAATGCCTGTCCGTCCGTCATGACTTCTCTCTCATCGAGTGTGATCCATGTTGCCGTGTTCTCGTCACATCCTCCCAGGTGTCCACCACAAGATAGCATTAGGTCTCGCTCCGTAATAAGGGCAGTGCGCAGAAGTCTTTGATCCTCGTTTAATGCCAAAGCCTACGACTGTGGTCATTGGCCAAGGACTTCAGACCACCGCGCACTGGCGACGGAATCGAAGAAGGGGAAATCGGGAGCAAGGGAAATAAAAGAAACGTAGTGGAACGAGATGCAGCAAGTGGTAACACCGAACTTTAACGCCAAACCGCCAGAGCCTCGGGTTTGAGTAAAAGAATGCCGACCATGTCCGGTGCCGACGAGCGAGGTCTCCAGAATGCAGAGGATGTCAGGTATCAACGAGAAATGCATTGGTCATGGAGTTGTTGTTGGCTATCATGACTGGTGCGACGTGTGCTGGGGGAGACCAGACGGAGGCATCGCGTAGCCACCACCCCGTTGTTGTTGCTGAACATAGCTCTGGTAGGCGAGCGCTTGCGAAGGGTCCATGCCACCGACGGGCATGCCGTAGTTGGGGGGCATGTGAGGGTTATGGGGCATGCCCTGGCGTTGGGGAGGGAGTTGTTGCTGAGGAGGCTCTTCGGGAGAGTCGACCTGGTTCGAGTCGTCGACGCCGTTCTCACCACCCTGAGAGGGTTCGGGAGCGTTCAGGCATGCCTGTATCGCGAGTTAGCCCCCAAGGTCCACACCCCGAATGGAAAACGGGGAGAAGCCATACCTGGATCAAGTTCTTGCCCTCAGCCTTGGTGACGAGAGGCTGCAGCTTTGGTGTCGTGAAAGTGTAAACCAGACCAGTCTCTGAGACGACGAGAAGCAGGACCTGAGTACCGGTGAGGACAGAGAGTTCGTAGGCCTGGAGAACGCGTCAAGTCAGCAATTGATGCGTCGAGTACGATGGTTTGCATGCGGCCAGGCGAAGTGTGATGATGATGACAAGCAGGCGTGTGGAGGAATGCGACGGGTACTTGCCTTCTTCATAATACCTGCTTTGCGCTTGGAGAAGGTGATGTGACGACGAGACTTGTCGTTGATGAACTTGATCTCAATCTTGCGACGCTCGCGACCGCCCTTGTCGTCATCATCATCTTCATCGTCAGCGGTGCTGGGACGCTGGCGCTTGACGCCTCTGTTCTCGGCAGCGTTGCCGTTGCCAACCTGGGACTCATCGAGGTCGGTGGGCGAGGTCTGGTCGTGTTGATCGGTGATGTCGGCCATTGTGGACTTTGTGATTGTGGGATGGTATCACGAGGCAGTAAAAAGTAAAATAACGGTGGAGATGCTGCTTTGAGCGTGGTGCCGATTGATCTATACTTGATCAGGAGGCAAGGGCTGTTGTTGTGTGTAGCTTGATTCTGTCGCAGAAGAAACCAGGTCGGGACGGGACGTAACCTGTATCGAGTCTGGTGCAGAGCGGTTGCGGTTGCGGTGGCCTTGTGGTGGTTGGTGCCTTGCGAGTGGTGGAGGGTGGTGGCAGGTGGAAGGATGGTAGGTAGAGAGGAGGGACAGGAAGGAAGTAGGGCGAAGAGCCAAAACCACAACCGGGAAAGGCAGGTGTAGGTTGCTCGGGTAGTGGTGGCAGCAGGTGGGTAGTGCGTGTAGTGCGTTTTTTGCCGACCAACGGAAGCGAGGAATTTGCTGATTTAATTTTTTTATTTGCTTTGTTTGACTTTTGGGGCTGCCGTGCCTGGCATGCGCTTGTGCTTGTCGGGGCAGCGAAGGAACAGAAGTTGTCTAGGTTGGCGGTAGTCGAAATCGACTTTCTTTTTTGACAGGCGCGCCGTGTGGTTGAAGGATGGGGTGGTGGTGTTTAAAAAGGGTAAGTGGTGGTCGCCGTTCTGGTTCGCGGGTACGAAGCAAGGCAAGGAGGTAAGGTGGGAGAGAGGCTTGGCCCTGCGAAACGAACTGGGCTGCGGTGCGGGTTATGAGCCGAGCGGGTTTGGTTTGTGTGGTGTTGGTCTGCGGTTCTGCGGGTGCGCTCGAGTGGATTGGAGCGCGCAGAAAAAAGGAAAAACGCGACTCGAGGAACCTGGGACTGGGGACTGGCTCTTCGGGTCGGAGTTTGGGTTGGGGGGCCCACGGGTGAGTGAGCTGAGATCGAGGGTGATGATGTGCCTGGGAGCCTGGCAAACTGAGATGGGTACAACACGTCCGGGAATGTGCTGCAATGGTCCTTCTTTTTTTTTTTTTGTGATTGCCTTTGCACTAAACCGATAAACGGGTTTGGCTTGACGCAGAATAAAGGGTCAAAATCGAGAAATGCCGCTGATACTGGCGCCTCTTTTTCTTCCTCTCTTCGGTGGTCGATGCGTATCGGTAGACGCTTCTGGCTGTCAAGTAGTTTCCCCTGCTGTTCAAGAAACAAGCAACAAGTGTCAGTTGGGGAAGAAGCTCGATTGAGAATAAGGCGAAGGGGACTGCGGAGTGAATGAAAAGAGGATAGTGAGGTGGTAGCACGGGCTGCGGCCACGACCAGACAGTTTAAGGAAAAACGAAAGGCGGGGGGGGTGGCGGTCTTGGGCTCTGGGACTCTACGGAGACCTCAGAGACGCGACGGGGGCCTTGGGGGAGAGACCAGGGTGTCGAGTGCTAGCTAGGTTGTAGCGTACAGTGCGCGATACAAGATACCTGGCCTCGAAGGGGGTGGGTGTGGGAGGGGTGGTTGTGATGGATGTTGAATGGGTGGGTGGATGAAGAGACTGAGATGATGATGGTTATGGTGAGGGTGCCTGGGGTCAGGTACCTTTGGCTAGGCAAGAGGTGGTGGGATGGGATGGGCGGATGGGATGTGCGTATCCGTTTTTTTCGTTCTTTCTTTTTTTCCTTCCTTCTCTTTTGCTTCCCTCTCGCTCCTGCTTTTCTGGTGCATTTCTTCCGGGATGCTGCCGTGGCCTCCTTCCTCGCATATGTCACTCTATCTCCAGCTTATCTAATCACATTTCAATCAACGGATACAATAAGCTGATGGGAGAAGCAGTGGGCATCTGTGATCCAAAAACCGCAAGAGCGAATAGACAATTGAGTCCGGAACAGGACAGCATCGACGGAAGGGCTACACCACGGACGCAGACAACGGCGGCGGGGAGATGTCCAGGGAAGCGCGTGTACGAATACTAAGTACATAGGGTACCTTCCTTCCCAGCAGGACCAGACGAGCGAACGGGGTTGGTCGAGAAGGTGAGGTGGTGTCGAAAGAGGAGAGTGGGTCCTGCCACAAAGTGACGACCTCCCAAGTACCTTACACTGTTCCCTTCTCTCGTTCACATCACACGCTCCATCCCGAGTTTCTCTCCGCTGTCCTGAGATACCCCGTCCCTCTCAGGTCTCAGCTCTGAATTTCTTCAGCCCTTTCCTTCCTCCATCACCTGCTCCCAGTTAGGCTCGTTCATCCGGCAGGCGTCTTCTCTCGCCCACTTCGCCATGCATGCGTTGACGGAATACTAGCAAAGTCTCGATAACGGTCGCGTTTAATCTTCACTGACCATCAACAAAGCACAGAGTATCTGTACTCCCTCCTCTTGTCTTTCCAGGGACCCCCAGCAGCCTGCTGAGGGACGAGAGATGAGGAGAGATACTAGCCCACACCCACCTGCAGCTAAGAAGGTTTTCTCCCAGCTCAAGCCCAAGTACGCAGTACAGGCATTCGCACAAGATACAGAGAGCACTGCGAATCAGCATCAGTAGGAATCGCTATCAGTCAGTATCTCGACTACCCGGCATCTGCATCCGCACGTATCAGTACCGGCAGCGCGGCAGCACCACCCGCATCCAATATGTATTTTGCCTTGCCTTACCCATCATGTACCGCCCGCCGTGCCAAAAAACTTGACCTCCTCTTTCTTGCCTCGTTCTCTTCCACACTTTATTATAAACACATCATGGTCTTTCCTGTCATGTATTGGTCATTCAGCGCCTCCAAAACGGCATTGAGGTGCCTTGAGCAACACTAGGCCCAACCCTTGCGCCTCGCATCTGTATCCTCAGCACATAGGTACAAGTAGATAACTCAACTTCTGAGCAATACGATGCCAGAGAAACCCCCAGCACCAGCCCCAGTTGTAGTCCCCGTTCCCGATAGACGCCAAGCGATGGCATGCCCTGCCAATTGACACTGTTAGGTTGCGTCCCGCCATGGCTGTGGGGCATGTCGGTCAGGTCGCGGCCGACCGGACCAGACTCGCGCGGTCCTACTATGTAGGCTGGCTGGATTTCTGGACGCGGATTTTGGGGAGTTTCCCACGCCCATGGTCTTTGGCCCGTGGACGTCGAAGGTTAGGTTGTTTCCGCACTCATTCATGACTTGCGGCGTGCGCAGCATTCGTACCTGCTGCAGCTTGACTCTCCCATGTCTCGCCGATGCGCGCACAGGTAGGGCAGTTGGCTGCGGTACGTACACCTGTAAATAGGTACGGCACTGAGCAATATTGCTTGTCTATCTGTACGGTTAGATTCAGAGGCATTTACAGGGTCATCTATGTCATGTAGAATTTTCCTGAAAAGGGGGCGGGCGGGCAAACGCGGTGCAACCGTCGCGATGAACAAGGGGTCGTCGATTTGACGCGTCGAATCTTGTCCTTTCTTTCTTTTCCCTTTTCCTCAACCTTCCTGTCTCCTGGTTCGTCCGAGCAGCTCGAGCTCTCAAGGATCGTGTGGAGGAAACGTACCTGACTTGTCCGGTTTGGGATCTGCTCCCTGTGTCTCGAAACTGCTCTCCTCGAGTATCGGGCTAACGCAAGGCAGAGGGTTGACGGCACAGGTCGACGTCCTGTCAGAACCTAGAACATTCGCACTGGCGCTGTCAACGCCTTCTTTTTGGCTTCTCTCGATTGCGGTCGCGTTCGTGGCTTTGCCTTTCCAATGGCTTTGGCCGCCATGCGCTGAACCATGACGGCGCCGCCCATCTGTCGTCGACTTGGTTCCGGGGACAGTCCCTGTCTCTGCCGGCGAGCACGTCAGTCACGTCAGCAGAAGAAAGACACCCACGACGGCTCCAACTCCAACCACCGGTTCTCTACTGCGTATGTGTCGCACTCACTGTTGCCCCTCATTTTTAGCTCCTCAATCCCAGGGCCAGACTACCAGTGGCATCCATGGGAAATAAGCGATCGTGGTATGGGTACAGTGTAACACAGTATGCACCATGGCGACTCGTAAACGGTGGTCATAGCAGCGACTGTCCCCGAGTGGTTCCATTGGCGTTGTGGCTTCAATGGCAGCGCGATAGACCAAAAGGCCTGCTCCCGTAATGAGGGGACCAACGACGATGGGAGAAAAAAATGTCCAGCCGAACAAAATGACCGAACCACTCTAGAGAGGAGCCCCTATGGCCTCGACCTCGAGAGACACGAGGAGGCACCGCACAATATTGAACGAACGCGCCAACGAATAATTAATGATTCCTGGGCCAGGTGGGTCTGTTGCCGGCCTGTTGATTGGGATCATGGGGGAATGAATGATCGGGAAAGCGCCCAGTGCGACCAGTGTGTAAGGCACAAAATTGCGCCCCTGCTGCTTACCGCGACTAGCGGTATCGAGGACCTCGGCTTGTCTTTGTCTGCTTTCCGTTCTCTTCACGTCCGCCAATCGCCCTTCGGGTTGGCTGCTTTCAGCTGGATGATGCTCAAGTCGAGAGAGGGCTGCTTTCCAACGTCAACTTGTCACGCCCCCGCTGGCCTGGTTGGAGCAAGGTCTGCGCGTAAGGCTTCCGGTCCTTGGTGAGCAAGCACTACCCACAGCGCAACGGCTTGGACGTCGGCTCGTTGGACACCTTTGCATTGCGCATTGCATCGCAGCGCTTCTAATTAGGAGTGTGCGGGTACGTAGTCGGTATCCTGCACTGCATTCTGGAGACGGGAGTGCGTGGAACCCTACGACGCTATTTGGTTGGTGTCTGGCATCTGGACAGTGAACAGTCTGCTTGGTAACTCGAGGGATTCGAAAAGGGTGTAGGGGTAGTCCCAGGTGCCGCTAGGAAGCTGATTTCCTGGTTTGGAGAGCTCTTGTTCCATTAGGCTCATTTGCGCCCATACTCGGCACAGAGCTCTAGAAACCTGCCTCAATCAGCGGCCAGCCGTGGCATGTCATCCGCATGGGGCAATTTGCTCACCGTAGCGTGCGGCGCGACAGGCTGGCTGGCGAAGGATTGACGCTCAGCGACGTCCGCAAGCAACCCAAAGTGCGAGTTGCATCGGCCGAGAGAAGTGACGGATGGCCCGCTGCGCATCATGGCCTGCTCAGAAGCGCATGACATGCTCCCCCAGCAATCATTATCACACATCACTCCATTGATTTGCAGAGACTATCGATGTCAAGCTGCATCAGAAAATGACAGAACAAGGGCCACAAAGACGTTGGACGCACGATCATGCCGCGCCGTAGCGTATTATGGCACTATGTAGACGACTCTCATCATCTGGCAGAGGTGGCAGTTGCAGGGCCAACCTGACCAATCAGTGATTGGCGGAAATTGGCAATGGATTAGTTTGTGTGTCCCTCGACGGCGGGATCCAAGAGAGCAGAATCGATAGCGCTGGCCAGACCCAGCTCGGAGGGGTGACTTTGATGTGTCTCTGGCTGTGGGCGGGTCGATGTTCGTTCGTTCGTTCGCTCGGTCGAGATAGATGCCCCACGCCGTCGCTGACCGAAATCAAACGACACGACACGGCGCGGGCATGGGAGTGTCGTCGAACCAGGGTCTGGTTGGTGGTTTGATGGGGATGGGGGATGGGAGTCGCCTGTCGGTGCCGTCGCGTTGCGGCACAGCACACAGTGCTCGCTGGCGGCGCTGGCTGCTGGTGCTCAACATGGGACGTGCTGTCGAGAACGTGGCCCCAGAGCGGGGGCAGCCAGGGCGAGCTAAGGATTGGTAGCGTGTGATTGCAGCGGCCACGGGCACGGAGCAAATGTCGTGAGCGTGGAGTCGAGGGCCCGGTCTCCAGGGATTCTCTGATGGATGCAACTCAGTGGCCAACCTGAGTGCTCAACGGCGTCGAGTAGACTGGGTCGATGCTGGGAGAGGATTCGGAGCTTCGGGGCGGATCATGGAGGAGCACATGTTTGATGGGCAGACGGAGCTGTCAGGGCTCAGGGCAGGCAAACTTCGGGTCGCGGAGGTGTTTCCTCGCAGCGCGGTGAGCATCAGTCTCGATTGGACGGAAGCAATATACGCTTTGCGCCCTGAGCCCTTGGGGGGCCAGATGCTTTCTGACTTGTGCAGGTCAGCACTCTGTCGAAGACGGGAAAACCGCAGTATGCGTCCCGAGGACGGGAGGTGCGGTTCGGTGCGTCGGGTCGAGCGAAAGCTGCAGACTTGAGAATGCCAGTCGAAACAAGTGTCGAGGCAAGTTCCGCGATTGCATGTTGCCGGAGCGTGCCTTGGACCCGTCCACAGGTACGTAGGATATGTGGAAAAGGTAAAATTACAAGGCAGGCGTTTGCCCGCACGTGGAGAGTGAGTTGGAAAAAGCAATGTGTTTCCAAGGACCACGGCAGAGTGGTGGGAAAAAGAAAGCAAGATCTGAGATCAGCCACCGGTGAGTGGGAGAGCAGCCCGTTGAAGCTGAATCGGTCAAGGAGGTTTGGGCAGAGAAGCCTTGGCTTGTTTGGCAATGTCTCTGGGTGTTGGAAGCAACTTGGGAACTGATCAAACTGGGGTTGGCGGACGGCAGAGAAGAAAGAACGAAAGTCGCATGAGGTTGTGGTAAGCTCGTGTGAGGTTGAAGAGGCTGAGGCGGGAAGGGATAGATGAAGCCTAAACAAGGTGGGATGTCAAGCCTGACAAGGTAAGGCGTGTCGATTTTGACTTTTGTGCTCCCGAATAAGAGATCTGGACGTTGCTCGATTCGTCGTTGACAGCTTTCAGGACAGCGTTTGAAGGACCACGGACCCGGGACATTGCTGGGCTTGCCATGCTGGGCCTGGGCGGCGCGTGCTGTCGAAAGCGTGGAGGCAGTTGGCTGCTTGCTTGATCAGTGATCACAAAGAGCACTCTGTCAAGTACGGGTACCCAGGGCGGGCAGGGAAACTGGACCGAGCTCAGTGAGTCCGAGAGCCAACAGCGGTCCAGTGTTCGTACCTTAGGGTCGGGAGAGTGACGACGAGCGACGAGCAACCAACTGCGAGTTTTGGTCGTCTAGTGCTGGTGCTGGATCTGCTGTCGGGTCGGAGCTGGGTGGAATGAGATTGAGAGTGCCCATGAGGTTGTGGTGTGGGACAGTGGAACGAAGCGGGGAGCAAGGGGGCCGAGATTGGTCCAAACCGTCCAGGAAGAGAAAGAAAGCGATACGGATGGGGGGACATGGAGACGCGAACGTGCTGCGGGACAGGGGGTGAGCAGGGAAGGTACGTACCTTCACCTACCTGACTGGGCAGGCAACAGTGGGCTGGTGCCCCCGAAGGAAGGGGAAGGCCTCCACGACGGGCAAGAGGTGCAGGCGCATGGTACACTGCATGGGTATATGAGCATCCGCTCCGGAGTGAACGTCCAGCGGACTGTGGGCTGGCTATCTATCTCCAGGGCCCAGCCGAGATCCATCAGACGGGCGGCGCACCGATGGCGATGGACGGCGATGATGTTGTGTTGGACCAGGCTTGCGTATGAGGTGGATGGCGCCCGGCGTCTGGAACCACGCGATGGCAGGCATATTGGAGAGATGATGGCTGCTGCCACAGCTGCCAGTGCCAGTGCCAATGCCAATGCCAGTGCTGGTGCTACTGCTACTGCTGTGAGGCAAGAGCGAGAAAAGGACAGCCGACCATTCCTCATCAGGCGGGAGTTGAAGACCCCACACAGTGTGCGTCCTTCGCAGGGTTGTCGGGGTACATGATCCGCTCGCCGTAGGCAAAGCCCGAGTCGAGGATAATGAAAAGAATGCAGGGTAAATGAAAGGATGGACTGTGCGCACGGCAAGGCAAGGCAAGGCAAGCAAGCACAGCAAGCAGCATGGCCGTGGAGGCAGGCAAGGCAAGCAAGCAAGCAGGCAGACAGACAGACAGGCAGGCAGGCAAGCGTCTGTCTTGTTGACCTGCTGCTCGGGCTCATGAGGGGGGCTAATTACCTTTTGCGAATCGCCAGTGACCGTCTTTGCTAACTGGAAGCTAATAGGTTGCGGATGCCTCACTTACACATACCTACCTGACATATGAACATCAACATCAATATCAATCTTATCCACGACCCCATACCGCTCCATCTCCCGGGACCAGGGCCGGATGTGCAGCACGCTATTTCTCCTCTAGCGCGCGAGCCACCTGAGATTGGGAAGGAGACAGATTGAGGGCATGCGGTCCAGCCTCGATCAACCATCAAACGAACTCGGACTTCGGGCGCGCAAAGAACCTGCCCTGCCCTGCCCTGCCCTGCGGTCAGCGCTGCCCTGCGCGTTTGGTGTCAAGTCGCGGCAAGGTCTGCTCTGTGGTCCGTTCGTCTCCTCAGTACCGGCCGCGGTGAACCGCTGACCATACCCTGTCGCCAATGGAATCACCCTGCTTACTCTCGGGCGAGCTGAGGGCTGAGGTTAGGACAACCGTTGGAACAGGAAGCATTCTGCAGCGGCGTTGGCGTTGGAAACATGTTGCGGCAGTGCGTAGCGTTCACTCACTGCCTCTCTCTTCCTACCTTGTGCATGTCCTCAACACCCTCAACAGCTTACAGCTTCACAGTGTGTTTTCGCTCCAGACGTCCCGAGACATCCAAAGATGAGATGAGATGGGCTGGGGGAGCAGCGCGTGGGTAGGTAGCATGCGGCAGGCTGCAGGCCTCAGGCGCAAGTCGGAGTCGGCGTCGGCGACAGCGACAACGACCAGCGTCCCGTCAGTCCATGTTAGATCCATCCCAGGTCCCGGAAAGCTGGCGAGCTGTTGCCCATCGAGAGGAGCCTACCTAGGAGCCTAGAGGAGGAGATGGGAAGGAAAGAAAGAAAGAATACCTTAAGGCTCGGGGCCCTTCTCCTCCAAGCTCCTCCTCCCAGGAGGCCTAGGAGGCCCACGAGTCCCCAAGGGCAAGGGACGGAGAAGTACATAGTGCAGTACGTCGCCCAGTGCCAGCCCGTAGGTAGGATGCATGTATTGCGGCACCTACCCTACCGTTACCGCGCCTTCCCCACCTTCCCCAGTCAAACCCAGTCTTACCGGGCCTTTTCCGTGCACGTGACTCCATATCCCCGGGCGGCTAGCTAGGGGTCCTGCGTCAGAGATTCCGGTGAAGCACCTCGCGCCTGATTCACTCACCACCATATACCCTGCTCGCTGCTCCTCTCTGCCTGCACGTTCCTGCAAGACCTCACAGCAGCTCCTCGCCCCTTCACAGTGCCTTTTTCTTTGCTGCCGCCAACCCAACATCCAGGGCATCGCATCCATCTTTACTCCCCACTCCCCGGGAGGACGCCGTCCATCACATCCGCCCGCTTCCTTGCACGTCCCCGGTGAACTTCGGACTGCAACTCACTCTGCGTTTTGTTTCGTTGGATGACCCCGAGCTCAGCACATTTGTCGATTTATCGACCCTCAGTCTCTCCCTAGGTCATGCATGCGAAAAGCATGTACGCAGTATTCGTTCGCGGGATGCCATCATGCCCGTTTCGCTTGCGTCGAACACGGCGCTGGTTGGGTTCAAAGCTCACATCTCGCAACGCCTTCTCCCGCCTTCACACCCTCTCCGTCTTCACGCACCAGCGCCCGCCTACGTGCCCCCATGTCTTACGTCCATCCCCGCGGCAGAAAGAGACTCCTTCGGCGCAGACACGCTCAACGCCACGGCCTGTAAGCTCCCGCATCGAGGCCTCGACTCGGCTTGGGGCTAGTCACTGGCACTCGATAGTGCTTCGCGGGAATCATCGCAATCTCGCTCCCTAAGTTGTCCATTTGCGCTTGCCGAATTCTCCTCAGAACCCGGCTCATGCTACAAGTTGAGCGAGGTGCATGAACTCAATCTTGTGGGATCTGAGCCCGTTAACGACCGTCTGGTGTCTATTGTCATATTCCCCCCCAGGGATGGCCTCACTTATCAGCTGGGGGCTGGACCACCACAGCACAACACGCACCCAGGCCTAGAACAGGTAGCAAACTGTGACAGACGTGGCATCTCATCATCAACCTCTTCGCACCTTCCATGCGCCATCTCAGCGGCTCTCAGGCCTATCTCGGGAGCTCTGGGGTCCTTGAGATTCGCAGCCCTGCTCATCGGGCACCTGCGGTGTGCGCACAGGTCAACTTGCATGCTCTAGCTTGGTATACGCACTTGCAGCGAGCAAGTTTTCACGCAACCTTTGAACCTATGAAGCGTAGTTCCGAGGGGCTATGTCCCTTTGCTGATGTCTTGAATTATCATACGAACTCGGCCCGGATCAATCTTATCATTACTGTCACGAAGGAGCTGTCTTGATTTACGAACGTCATCTTAGCAACTGAACAAACAGCATCTCGCCGCGGATGTGGCACGGCTGACTGCGCTGACTTCAGCTCAGAAGATTAAGCCATTACCCATCCAAGAGACGAGGCCCGTGTGGCTATTGCTTCTGCGAAGTACTTTCCAAAAAAGGAATGTTGCAGGGCAGGTTTGGGGGCTTCAAATTGCCTACCAACCGACAGGACTGATAGGCCTCGCCGCCACTGAGGAGAATCTGCATCTTTCAAACCCTCGATGGGCGCGTGTAGTCAACGATAATTCGATTCCCGCTCTTCCATGAAATTCACGGCCCCGGTTGTCCAAGTCTATCGGCCGAGTTCGATCACGCTATGCTCTCTATGGACAACGAATCCAGCTTGGCGGGCTGCCTTGTTCAACGGCCTTGAACCATACGTTTCTGGGACGATCGCATGGCCAACTAGCCCCAGTCCAGTACGCGTCGCATGTGCACTGTCGTCAAAAAGACCGTGCTGCTAGCGGTGCCTTAGGGATCCAGAGAGGATGCCCCTTGAGCTGTCAATCCCGCGAACGCTTCACTTCCAGACGGACCCCTCGCCATCGATGAATTCGGATTGGCGAGAACTGTGCAGAAGCATGCATCTTCTCGAACAGCTGCTCATTCGAGGGGTCGGCGACCTCAAACTGTTCAGACACTGTTGCTGCAGCTGTTGGCCCCGTGTGTCACCCCGCCTGGTGCCATCTCCACAGCTCCGGGTCCAACCTCACTCCGCAGCCCCAGTCTTGCTTAAAGATTCCTCGACAGATCCTAAGCCTTGGCTCGGCTGCCTCTTCCGCCTTTGACGGATGTAAAAAGCATCTCCGAAGACGACGGTGCTGACAAACGTTTCTTGCTCTCGGACCCATTTCATGCGGCTAACGTCTTCCAAAATAGCGATTGTCGCATGTTGCCACTTCGCCGGAATGCCTCTAAACACTTTGCATGTAATTACACACAGTGGCGAGTCTCTCGCTTCACGTTCAAACTCGAAATCTGACCTCATCTCATGCCATAATTTCCCAGGCTTTCAGCGCATCGCTAGGAACATAGAGAGATGATGCCGATTAGAGTCTCGGTTTCGGTATCAGCCCGAGTCCCTGAGCGAGAGCTTTGTCCGAGCATGTGTCGCAACCTACAGACTGTGTTCAACCGTCTTCATCCGGTCAATGTGACGGTCCATCAAGTGCGCGCCGGCGCGCAAACGCCTTTAACCTCTTTGGGGCATTCTTCGCCAGCTGGCTCGTGACAATTGCGAGAGGGTTGCCTCTTTCGTGGACGTTTCCGAAGGAGGTCGTACAGCCAGCAATTGCCCTAGACTTTCTCTCATCTCAAGACCTCCGAAAATTGAGTTGACGGCGCAGAGGCAGAGACCACACGCTCCCAAGAACGTCATTCCTCACTGAAGCCCCCCTCCCTGGCTCCCGCCCGAGCCTGCCTAAATTTCCCTCTGACAGCGGTGTCATTGCTTTGAGTTTGACTGGGAAAGTAAGCAACTCAGAGTTGTCCCAGGTCTCTGGTTCTGAACTCTCTTTGGTGATTTGCTGTGGGCTGTTTGGCATGTTGCGTCAAGTTTCATGCCTCGGCCCTCTCGTAGAGGAAGAGACCGAGAAACCTCGGCGGCTGATAAGGGTGTCGCGCTGAAAAACGACAGCATTGGCATGGCAGCTGCCAAATCTTTCGGTCTGTAATGACGATGGTTCCTGTCACTGTATCAAGTTTCTGTTTGGTGGCTTTGCATTGTCTTTTAACCCCAGACGGCCCAGGTCTCTGGCGTTTGGGAAACGAAGTGCATGATATCTTCGCGAAATCATCTTGAATCGGGCAAGCGTCTTCTTCTAGGGAAGGTGTTATGCTACGGTCTATTCCACATGCCGAATGTCACGTTCACGCTGTGCTTGGTTGCATGTGTTCGTTGATATAATTCAAGGCTGAGTGGCATCTTTGGCCATCTGTTGCCGACTTTCCGAGGTTGTCTCGTCTTGCATGGTATATAAGCAATGAGATAACACAGTCTGAAGCAAAGAAGTGTTCCGGAGTGAAATGCCGAAAGAGAGGATGTCAAACAGAGGGACAGCAGAGAGCAGGACAGCGACGAGGATAAGTAATCGGCGAGAACTTGATGGTAACCTTGGCCGGGATAATTGAAAAAACACAGCATCAAAAGGCAGTTGAGAGACAATCTAAAGAAGAACGATGCCGTGTAGACGAGGGGCAATTCAAAGACAGAATCCTACTCCAATGTCGAGCAAGACAAAGGAAGGTCAGCTCGCTGTCTACAAAGGCATTCATGACAACTACCAATATTTGGATTCAGACGGCCACGAAGACCAAGTTGAAGATCAGGAGCCAAGCAGGGACAATAGATCCCATACTTGAACACTAGCGAGGGTTGATACAACCGAGCAGTTGTGGGGGAATATGCTCATTATTGGGACGAGAAGTTGATGCTGCATAGAAGTAAACTTGCTAATCCTCGCAGACTGAATGATTGTCTTCTACTTTCAGTCCATCTGCGGGTTATGATTGAAAGAAACCACATAGTTTCGTTTCTTCATACATGCTGCCCCGGAAACACTCACCATCGTCCTACTGCCCTCTCTATTTGTTGACACCTACTTGCCAATGCTGAAGACATGTCACCTTAAAAGTCGTATCTGAAATCGGGATTCTCCTTATCCGTCAAGTCCGCAAAGGCGTTCGAATGCTCAATCTTCTCGTCCTCGCCCCCGTGCCCCTTGACACCAGCCTTGCCATCCTCGGAGATCTCCTCACCGGCCATGCTCGCAGGGTCTGCAGCGGCTGCGGCAGCCGTGCGCTTGGCCTTGTTGCGGCGGACAAGCAGGAACCGCATCAGAACGAGGAAAAGGTTGAAGAGGACATAGAGGCAGAAGTGGGCCGTAAAGCCCTTGCGGTAGCGCGGCGCGTCGCTGTCCTGGAAGATCTGGGGCGCCGTCATGTTGCCCGCGGCCCAGCCGATGAAGGTCATGGCCAAGGTGGTGGATTTCTTGGTCTGGCCGGCGATGTTGCGGGAGATGAGGGAGAAGATGAGGTTGCCCTCGGCGAGGTAGAATTGAGTGCAGTAGAAGGCGATCAGGAGGCCGACGCGATTGGACGCGGAGGGCGGAATGCTGTAGATTACCGCTGTGCCGATGATCGCGGGGCTGGATGCGAGTTAGTTTTCTGCTTGAAGGGAGAGAACTGGGACTTACATTGTCCAAGCCTGTGGGAAGCGGTGTCAGTACAAGAGGTCATGATGGGGGAGAGATGGTATGTTGACGCCGACTTACATGCATAACCCAAGCAGTCTGTTTCGACCAGGTCGCCAGCGTTGCGCTACCGAGCATGACGATGATCGTGACCGCTCCCTGGGCGATATTCAGAAGCTGTGTCTGGAGATACGTGAAGCCGAACGAGGAGATGATCAAGTTGGAGAAGACGCCCAGCCCGCCGATGATCAAGGTCGAAGTGACCTGGAGCAACACGTAGCACCAGACCACAGGGTCGGTCACGGCTTCTACCATCTGGTAGCGCTTGTACGTCTTGTTCTGGATGCCGGTCTCGTTGGCGCGGACACGCTCGATCATGAGACGCTTCTGGTCCTCGTTGAAGCACTTCGCGGCCATGGGCGAGTCGGGGAGCCACCACCCGATGAACAAGCCCCAGACGCAGGTTGCGACGCCCAGGACGAGGAAAAGGAGCTGCCATGACTTGATGTCGTGGCCGTTGTAGTGCGATGCGCCGTATGCGATGAGGCCACCGACCTGTGGTTGTGTCAGCTGACTTCGTAATCCTGAAGGGCATCGTGTTTGTCTGCGGATATCCCGATCAAGTCCAGATACTGGTGAACTTAATCTCGAGTAGCCGTCAGAGCATATCGTCATACATACCATCAACTGAACACCAGTCATGCAATACCAAAGCGAAGTGAGAATGGACTGTTCTCTCTTGGTGTACTTGCAAACGCGAATTAGATTAGCTGAACTTGGGTGCTCAGGGGGTGAATGGGTTAGTAGCTTACCCACATGGAAGTCCTGTAATGTATGTTAGCACATCCAACAAAAGTTTCGAGGATCAAGAGCCACGTACATGATGATGAAGGCAGGTTGGACACAGCTTTCAAAGACTCCGAGCAGAAACCGAACAACCATCAGACCGGCAAAGTTCTTGGCGGCGGCAGAGCAGGCAATGACCACGCCCCAGCAGAAGACGTTGACGGAGAGATACTTGGCGACCGGGAACTTCTGCAGCAACATGTTGGTCGGATACTCTCCGACCAAGACGCCCATGTAGAGGATGGTGCCGAGCCAGCTGCGGTAATGTCAGAACACTTGACTTTGGCTTTCCTTGCAGGTTGAAATCACCTGAATTGGTTGTTGTGCGTAAGACCAGCATCTTGTCTAATGTTCATCACAGAAGCAAAGCCAAGAGTGCCCTTGTCGAGAGATTGACAGAAGTAGGTGCCCAGCATACAGGCCAGAATGCGGCGGTTGATGATCCAAAACAACTCTCTGCTTTTCTTCTCATCGACATAGGTTGCCGTCATGCCGGCATATTCATGGGTCTAGCAAAATGTTGTTAGTGGTGTTGTCCGGGTGTCCTTCGGAGTACACTAGGCTGACCTCCTTGTCTCCCTCCCGATGCTCGACGGGAACTTCAGAGACAGGCGTAATGGCGCTGCCTCCCTGAGCCGGTGTACCTTGCTTCATGATGTCTTGTGAGTGGGTTCCGTGGATCTGGTGAGGTCTCTAGTGATTAGATATCGAAATGGCTTGGTCGTGTGTCTCCATGCCCCCTTTTACCCCGGATTTGACCTGGTTAGTGAGCCTCCTATATGCAGACGATGCTAGACTTTCTGGGGACCCCAACTTTTGCAAATCCGGAGCGTCGGAGTCAGAGAAGCTCCTCGCGCTAGAAAGGTGAGCTGATGGCGATGCTGGGGGTGGGAGGCGGGCGGAATGGCTGTTCGGGCACGTCTCCGGTACCTACCCCGGTGCCCGGAGACGGGGGGTTGGTGGAAGGTGGGCGGATCGTCGTTCGGGTGTTGGTTTGCATTGGACCTGCTACCTCGGCCATCAGAGCTTTCAGAATGGGGAACTTGGCTGCCGCTAAATTGTTTGCTGTCCCCTCGGCTGGTGAACCTTTTCCTATACTAAACCTTTATGGCCTGGTGGTATGTGTTGATGATTTCTGGTTGGGGCGGTTGATGAAGCAGCACTTGAACCGAGGTCTTGACCCCCGACGTCGAAGAACCTCTCGTGTGTCTTGCTACTGACCCCCTGGCAGAGGGCAGACTAGCTGTACAAAAGAATCAGGTTTCTATTTACTCATGTTTCTGGCCAAGTCTTCTGCTTCTTGAACAAAGACTGTTGTCAGAATTCTAATACGGAAATTCAACGTGGACTTTGTTCGTCCGCTGAAGGAAGCTATCATGTAGGCTATCGGCACAGCTACAGCGAGTGCACGAGCGGAAATCACAGGACGCGTAGCAAGGATCCAACCCGCTGTGGCTTTCTCTCAGCGGCCCATCAGTGTGGCACGTCATTTGTGACAGGCCTGCATTCCCCGCACATCTTCCCCACGTTCGAGTTTCGATCCCCAACTTAGCTTGGATCGAACGGCACCCTTTTCTGAACTTGGATAGCTCGCCCGATCACGTCTTTGTTATCAAAATGTTGACTCCTACAAACTCCATTTACCAGCCTCAAGTGCTTTGTGATTTCCGTGGTCTCGGGTTCAATGGCGTTCGATGACGATGACGAGGCCATGTCTGGTCGCTCCGGCGGTGAAGAAGATGGCCAGCCGCGGTCCAAGAAGAGACGTACAAACTCGAACACGAATGGCTGCGATACGGAAGGCCCAGCGTAAGAATTTCTCGCGCAACGAACTCTGGTTCGCTTGTGATTTGGCTCACGAAGAATCTCAGCTGTCAATCGTGTCGGAAAAAGAAAGCGCGCTGTTCCAGACGACAACCCTGCTCTGCCTGCGTGCGATACAGTTGGTTCACATCTCCAGGATCTATGGGAGCAATTCTCTGATATCAAACCCCAGATGTCGAATGCGTGTACGACGACAGGAGGTCCAAGCCAGGACTTCGAACTGGGGCTGTCGAGAATCTCAGCCAGCGAGTCGGTGAGTATCCACCAAACATTTCCGATCATTCGCCAAAGCCTTCACTTGATGACTGACGTTTCACAGCAACTCTTGAGAACATGTTTCTAGGCCAAGGAGTCCTATGGCAGCAAGTATTCAATGCGTTGAGCACCGCAACCCACCTCAACTCTTCCAGTCCTAGTCAAGAGGAGTCATTAAACCCGTCGCTCAACGAAACGGCTGCTTCGCTGAAGAACACCCTCGCGACCCTTGCTGAAGGTGGGGAGCCGGCGATGGCAACTCTCGCAGCTTGGCGCCCCAAGAATCCGGAAACACAGACGACAGCGTCCAAAGAAAATACACGCGCAAACGCCAAGCTGGACTCCGTGTTTGATGATTCTCTACTTCCTGAGGCGGACCTCGTGGACAATCTTGTTGAAATTTACTTTGCGAATATCCACCCCTGGATCCCGATGCTGCATGTCCGCCAATTTCGCGAGCGCATGCTGGATCCCGAACAACGACCGCAACTGAGTACGATATTCCATGCCATTGTGAGCCTCTGCGCGAGATTCTCCCAGGATGCCCGTCTTGGTTCTCCCGAGGAAAAGACTCGTTACGCAAAACGATGTCGGCAGTTCGTTATCTTGAACAGCATGGAATCTTTCTCCGTGGAAAATTTACAGGCGTTGACGATTATTGCGTTTGATACTGTTAGTCCATCAGCTCACCCTAAATATGTCACACGTTCTGACAGCGGCTTGACAGATTGGAAGCGGCCGAGGGCCCTCTGCATGGGTAAGACATCCTGCCAGTTTCCCCGTCACAAAGCTGATGTTGTAGTCAATCGTTGGAAGCATGACGAGAACTGTGGAGCAACTGCAACTCAGCGTGGAAGACGAAGACCAATCACCGGCTTCGAAACGTCTCATAAAGAGAATGGAGTTCCTGAAACCCTGTCGATTTTGGAGTGAAAGAGAAGAGAGGCGGCGAGTGTTCTGGAACATCTTCCTAATGGACCGGTTCTGCAGCATTGCGACTGGATGGAACTTCTCATTGACCAGTGCAGATGTCAAGAGACGCCTTCCATGCGAAGGTGCTCTCTGGGAGACCGGCAAGCCGCTCCAGACACCGACTCCGTATTTCGGTGTCGCTGATCAGTCAAGCGGTGCCACCGGAACACTCCCGTCCGCGAGACCAGAGGAAGCGGCCCAAGACTCGCTGGGAGGGTTTGCGTACTGCATAGAGGCCACTGAAAGCCTGAGTCTGGTCACCTCATTCTTCCTCCAGCAAGCGATTGATGTCTCAAAGCCCCATGAGATACAGGTCTGGCTGATGAAGTTCAAGCAACTGGACTTGCGTCTAGTGCAGTAAGTCTGTTTCGATGCGCCAAAGTACGTGCTGTTTCTGACATCAGCAGATGGAAGATATTCCTGCCCGAACAATGGCGTGAAGCATGCGTCCTCAACAACGATGGAATCATGGACCCCAATCTGTCCTTGGCCCACGTAACGCACAATACCGCTGTTGTTCTCCTCCACCAGGGCATCGCCTACCCATTGCCCGAATGGCAATCCACCCGTATCCGATTACCATCCGCCTCTAGCTCAGAAACATGTCTCGCAGCTGCTACAGAGGTCGCGATCATAGCCGAGAAGTTTCTCCAGGACTCGCAGCACGTCGTTAGTCCTCAATTCGCTTTCTGTCTATTCATCTGCGGACGCATGTTCCTGGCGCATTCACTCTACTACAGCGTGACGCTGCCAGGTGGCTTTGATTCGCTGGTGGGGAGCTTGCGGACGATAGCAAAGAGGTGGAACGGCCCTGGCGACACGTCGGAGAACCTGGCTTCGAAGTTTGCAGGGAGGCTTGTCCAAGCTCGTCAACAAGGCCATGGCATGTTGGACATCAGGCAGGCTGTATACTCGGATGACAGGCACGAAACATCCTCTCCGCTGTCCGGCAACAGTCTAGGGCCGCCCGGCGCCGTCCGTTCCGGGGCGGGTCATCCCAACAATGGCTTCTCTCCGAGGCCTGGCGGTGCGTATGTGGACGGATTCGGCGCCTCTGCTGTGGATTTTGATCAAGAAGCGTCTCCTGACAGCATTTCCATGGCCTTCCCCCCGCTTCCTCTGGCTTTCCATGCTCAGAACCCCAGCAGAGGGCCTACCGCAATGCCATCACCTGTGCCGGCGAACCTGCAACCTCATTTGGGCGCTTACGATCACTACGATATGGGGGTCCCGAATGGTCATAATGGAGGACAAAGCATGGTTGGAGAATTTGAGGACCTCAATGCTTACCTTGACTACTCTTTCCTGCCGAATCAACGGGTGAGCATGTTTTCTGGGGCGGCGGAGAAGGAATAAGATGCAACGACACCCTTCAACCACTAGGAGGAGACTTGTTTGCCCCCAACGTAGTATAATCTCATATGAAAAGTATATACATATGGTCACAATCCATTGAATCTATGCACTTGCTTTGTATACTCAAGCACGCTCCTCGAACAATTCTGGAACCCCCATCTCCAGAAGCTTGTTCCCTGCCAGCAAGAAGAAGTAGTCGGCGTACACCAGCCCGTGGTTTGCCCATCTTCTCGGTGCGAATTCATAGTTGTTGATGGTCGCGCCGTTCAAGATCGTTTCAGGCTCACCTTCCCCGTCCACGTCCCAGCCGATATCTTCCTCCATGGTCCCATGCTCAACGGTGTCGATCGTCCTCTTCGACTTCAGATACCGACCGCCACCATTCATATGGGCACTGCATGTGGCTCGAATGAGCTTGATCGCATGCTTCAGGTACGCCGACTCTCTTCCGAGAGAAGACAAGGCCTCGTGGATCAACAGCATGCCGTAGGCAGTGATCATCGCGGCACTGATATCCGGAGGCTGCGGTTCGTCCTTCGGAGCCGTGAAATCCCACGGAGGGATCCAAGTGGATGGAAGCTGGGCGATGAAGTACTCGGCGCAAGAAATGGCGGTCTCGAGGAAGGAGACGTCACGAGTCCAACTATATGTCTGCGCAAAGCCAGCAATGGCCCAAGCCTGGCCTCTCGACCAGGAGGAAGTGTCGGAGTAGCCTTGGTTGGTGATCTTCTCCTTCGGCACGCCGGTCTTCTGTTCGAAATTCACCACGTGAAATGTTGAGAAGTCTTCGCGGATGTGATGGGTCCGGGTCGTTTCGGCATGCTTGACAGCGGCATTGTACATGTCCTGGTCTCCGAGCTGGGCAGCAGCCCAGAAGACCATGTCGAGGTTCATCATGTTATCCTAGAGGGGCCATTAGTACTCCTGATGATGACTGGATGTGTTGGGGATCCCTTACGATGATGACAAGAAAGTCTTTACTTGGATCCAGAAACTTGTACCGCTTGGTAACGCAGACGTCCCAGGACCGAATCGATCCGACAGTGTCGTCGAATCGACTATAGAGAGACTTCGCGGCCGTGATGGCGGACTCGAACGCCCGCCGGTCATGGTTCAGCTCCCACGCCGGGCGAGCCCATGGGAAAATCATGAAACCGAGGTCATGGGTCGTCGTGAGATGTGCGTTGGGATGGAGGTTTTCCGTCCACCATGTACAGGCAAACCTGCAGTTTGGGTCAGATTAAGGAATCGGATTTTGAGAAATTGCAATCTTACTCCAGATGCATCTGGTGGGGTTCTTGTCCGCCGCGTTGTCCCAGATGCCTCAGCAGGTGGGTATGCTTCCGTCGTCGCTCTAGAAGGAGGTACAGACATCCTGGGAAGAATCCCGACGTCCAGAAGTCCAGCTCCCTATAGACGTACTTCGTACCACCTGGCTTGGTGTACTCCGGAAACAAAGTTGGCGGTGCGGGCTAGGAATAGTCGGTCAGCCTGCCACTTCCAGCCTGCGGAGGGCGGTTGCATCTGCTCACTGAGGAAAAGCTCTGCTGGGCAACACCCCATATTTTGGCGGCTGCTTTTGTAGAAAAGAGCATGTACGAAAAGGGTATCTCGCTGCTGTTCGTTGACAGAGGAGGAGTCGTTAGACCGTCTGTCTCTGCATGCTCATGGTAGACCTTGTTGCGCTTCTGTATCTGATGTCATGTAAGTCCTACCTCTTTTCTCTAGACGAATTCTCTTATCTTACCGAAGCAGTCCCGTTCATCGTCGATTCAAAGCCAGCACGGCCTCTCTTGACGCCAGTAGTTGTACCTGTGTCGGGTGCCATGGTCTTGGATATCAAATCGAAAGAGGCCAAGTCCGCCACAAAACGTGAAAGAGATCTTCGGTCGAAGATTTGACCAAGCTGGAATTTTTCGGAATTCAGGAGACTCTCATATTTGGGGCAAGCCTTTCAAGTAGGCGGTCCTCCCAAACGGACTTAGTCACGAGAAAGCGCTCTCTTAGGCGCGACTTGCCTTGTTGCCCTCCGCAGAGCATGCCAAGAAGACTGATTCGTTCTCGGCAGAGATTTCGGGCCGTCAGACCATTAGAAAGATCGTCAATGATGATAATGTGCTAGGGTAGTGTGTTCATCGGTGCCGTCGGAGAATGCTCCGGTATATGCCCCGGCTCCGGTCGGTGGAGGCCATGCCGTATTCCATCTAGCATCATCTTTCCGCAATTCGGATCCCCCGCGTTAAGGCGCGACAGGAAACCTTTGAATAATAAGCGGATAGTGCTCGATTAAGTTTCCTGGTGTGGTTGTTAGATATGAGGTAGGCTCTCGAGTAAGGAAGCATGTACTGGAATGAACGTGCAGGTTACTTTTGTAGGAAGGATTAAAAACGAAGTGGCGAGAAAATAAAGAACCAAAGAGAACCAAAAAGCAGTACTGTGTTCTTCATAGATGACGGTTACATTCCTGATAGCGTGAAGCATTGAACCCGTTGCTTGCTTTGGAAGTGATTGGGCGTTTCTTCCCAGATACTAATTCGAGACGATATAGGTAGCTGCGAAGATAACCATACCGATTTTACAGTCAACAGTATAATCTATCACTGAGTAATCTCGATCTTGTATTTGGAGCGTATTTCTAGACCTTATTACCAGCTTCTTTTGTGGATTTCTTGTATCGTACTTCGCACCATTTCGGGCTCAACGCCTGGCATCCTAAGAGTAAAGCCGTGTCAAAACGAGTCCATGCAAAACTGTAACACAATACTCGAGTGGTGTAATCGACGCAAAAGACAGAGATCTCTCATGATCAAACCTTTGAGATCAACAAGATATCAAGAGCACCTTGGTCTGCCCAACCTCCACGTTCTTTAACAAAACCTTGCCCTCCAAAACTTCCACATCCTCCGCCGCCCAAACCTCCCTCACCTTCACCCCATCAGTACACCCTTTTTCCAGCCCGATGCCATCAAGCGGCACATTGATATTTGCCAGATCGTTCCCATAATTCAACGCCAGCACCACGTGTCTATACTCTCCAGTGTCGACAGGCCCTGCCCAGACTTGCACCTTGTCCTCTGTCGACAACTCCGGCAAATACTTCACCGCCTCGCCCCTCTGGTCCTGAGATATGGCAATAATGTCCCGGTTCAGAAGAACCTTCAACGACTGCTCTCGAATCCCGGTCACATCAGCACCAATAATAAGCGGCGACTTCAACGCCGCCCAGAACGAAAAGTGCGTCTGCTCCTCGACCTCGCTCATGACATTCCCAACGCCAATCTCAAGCATGTCCATATCCGCCCACGACATCCGCACCTTCTCCTGAAACGGCGAGATCTCTCTCATCTTCCGGATCATCGTCAGCACACTCACCCCCGCATATCCTGTGTTCAGGCAGTACGCAGTCGGGCAGACGCCGGCCTTGTCCTGCGCGAACGAGGCGTGGATGTCCCCAGACATGCGGTACGACCCCGCACCGACCTGGTCGGCCCAGTACCACGGGAACTGGTGTCCCCACTGGCACAGCGAGTAGAATATGTCGCGGCCGGTGTTGCGGAGGGCGTTGGACATGGTCTGGAAGCGCTCCTGCTGCGTGTGCGTGCCCGCGTGGAAGCCGCCGCAGTTGTCGTACTTGAGGTAATCGATGCCCCAGTCCGCGTAGGTCTGGGCGTCGAGGTCCTCGTAGCCCCAGCTTCCGGGGGCGAAGCCGCAGGTGAAGATTCCGGAATCGCTGTGGAGGCAAGATGTCAGCTGATCTGCCGAATGCGAAGAAAGAGGGCCCTATGCACCTGTATATCCCGACCTTGAGGCCCATGTCGTGAATGTGGTTGACGAGGGCTGAGCCTCCCGAGGGGAAACGCGTGGAGTTGAACTCTTGGCGCCCGTCCGTGGCACGTTCGTCAGCTTGCCAGCCTTCGTCCATGATCAGGTACTTGTAGCCTGCTGCTGCAAGCCCCGTGTCAACAAGGGCTTTGGCCGTGGTTTCGATGATGGACTGGTTGATGTTTGCCTTGAATGTATTCCAGGAGTTCCATCCTGATGCAACATCAGTTTGCCATGCTGCTCGCGTGTTGCGCTATAGGCTTACCCATCTGCGGCCGGGAAGCCATGCCCCCAGGAGCTCCCAGGATTGGAGCAGCAGCTGTGACGAGAAAGCAGAGCAAGAAAATCATGGTGCCGGCGACAGGGACAAGATTAGACAGACCCAATGTCCAATATCCGCCAGCTCATCTTGATATTTACATTCATATACCAGCATGTAGCCACAAATATCAAGAAATATGGCACGTAGCAAATTCGTCACTCCCCTGAATCGTCCGGTGAATCCTCCGATGCGGGTTGTCCCGATTCGCCGATGATCTGCGGGGGATGTCGGGGTAAAGCTGTACCCCGCAACTCCGGGATGATTATCGGGGCTCGGCGCCGGCCAGGGAGACTGTGATCCGGTTTTCATGTGCCTCAATCTTCTCTTCATGATGGAGGACTACAGGAATGCAAAAACATAAATAGACATTCCCGCCCAACCTTCATCCCGGGCTGGGAGGCTTTGCCTTCAAGAAATCTCGTCATGAAGTTATCTACGGTCTTGGGCTTTATCGTCTTTGGGGTTGTCTGTGCTGGGGGCTCTTCCGATAGACGGCCGCTATCATATGCCCCGAAGCCAGACGGCACATATGTGCCCGCGAAAGCTGACGGAGGTACCACACTCTTGGATTTCGTCAAGTCTAGAAGCGACTTGACTGAATTGGCCAAAGTCCTGAATGGATCAGCAGGTAACAAAACCTCTGAGAGCACATCGCGGCTACCCAAGGAATGAAGCTAATGTACGGCAGGTTTCCTTGAGGCATTCGACACAACCCCCACATGGGACTTCACCTTCTTCGCCCCTTCCAATGAGGCCTTTGCAAAGCACACGGGCCAGTACTTCAACACTTTCACACCGACACCCAAGGGCAAGTGGTGGCTAGGCAATCTCATACAGCACCACTACATTCCCAACACGCAGCTCAACATCAGCGTCTTCAACGAGACAGCGTCGCGGATACAGGCCGGGTCGTATCTGTACATCGGGACGCAGATCAAAGACGGCACGCTGTGGCTTAACGACGTAGCAACAGTCACAGAGGGGGACTTGAGGGTAACCAAGGTACGCGCTGCTGTCACCCCTCGCGGCATGACTGACCAACGGATTAAAACCAGGGTACTGTTCACATCACCGACCGGATCCTAGACCCTTCGGCGCAGCTTTTCGAAGCCGACCGGCCGAAGGCGGGCCAGAAGTTCATCCCTGGGAGCTGCTCTGATACTTCACTGCCATACTGCTAGCGTGGACGCGCAGTTGTTGGGGGTGCAATTGCCGATAGATAGGAACTGCTAGGGCAGGGAAGTGAGCGCGGCCATGAAGTTCGATAGTAGACCGAGATGATCGACAATTCTCCGACATGCCAGAACGTGGCGCAGGGTGGTGAACGGGCAGAAGCGGGTTGCTCACTCCATTGGAGCCGTTGCAGTTGTCTCAGGCCGTTCCAAAATTCCGTCCTTCGGGCCCATCCCTGTCGCGTCTTCGTTGCCCTTAGTCGTGCGAATCCACCGCATCGCACCACACGCGCCCGACATGAGTGAATTTTTTACCCGGCCGTCCACAACAAGCAACGAGCTTGATTGAGTTCAATCAGCCCTGATGGTCTAGCGGTATGATTCTCCCTTAGGGTTGTCCATTCGACAATTCGATCTGGGAGAGGTCCCAGGTTCGATCCCTGGTTAGGGCCCATTCCTTTTTGCGTGTTGTGCAGATGTGGCGGTGAGCGTCAGACCGACGCCGTTGGGTGGCTTTTTTAGTAACTCAACTCAACGGTCGCAAGGAACATCTCGTCCATTTTAGCGTACGATAAAAATTTCGACTGAAAGCAAATACAACTCGTTAATAGTTTCTCCCGGATATGTGAATGAAATCAGACCTCGCTGTTTCATCGAGTCAGCCTGGTCTTGTTTGTGAGGACTGAGCAGACAACGTGCAATTGTGCAGCTCCAGGGAAAAAAAGGTGCAAATCGAAACGAATTGCCCCTCAGCAATCAGCAGTCGATCTTGGTAGCGAACCATGAAATTGTCAGACGTGGGAACAGCCACAGACCAAGAGTCGAAGAAGACGAGCCGCAAGATGCAATGTAGCCCTATCCGCGCACGGCATTGAGTTGCCGGTGGAGTTGGGTGTTTCCCGAGGATCCCATGAATCGACACACGCAACGGAACGGGAACGGGAGCGCAAGTTGGGCGAAACGTGATGCAGGGCCTTCAGGCGCGTCAACGGCTGTGCATTTAATGCCCACTTGGAGGGTTTCCTGCGGCTGCGAGGAGACGACAACGCGATGAGATGCAAGGAGCAGAAGCGAGAAGCGAGAATGACAGGTCTGGGCGTCCAAACAAACCTGGAAGCAATTCGTGTATGAAAATCACATTGCTCATGTTGAGGCTCTGGACCTTCAGCGGCGCAGTCGGGGCAGCGGACGTACGAAATGAAGAGAGAAAGCAGAAAAAGAGAAGAGGGCCCGAGATGGCACTAACAGCCCTGATCCCTGGCGTCGTTCCCGAGCACCACCGCAACCGCAGCCCACAGGCTCAGCCCACAGGCTGAGCCCACAGCGCCTTTTTTTAGTCGCCCATCTCCGGCACACACCTTGATCAGAGTAAGGTAGTGGAGACGGCCTGCAGCAAGTGTCCAGCATTTTAAGCATGGTTCGCCAGGGGAGCCAAGAGTATGGAAATTGGACGTAGGCGGGCGGTAATGTCGTGCCACCGCCGCTGAAGAACAGCGACATGGTTGGGCGAGA